CCACTCTCCCCTAAATACTGACATGAGAAGCATCGGTCACTGTAATATAAATCCCATAGTAACCTCCCTACTATCCGAGGGGTGGGGTGGTGGGGGTGGGGGGATTTTGTTGCCAGTTTGGTACAGTTTATATATAAATGACTGTTAAGTGCATTTTATTTGAGAAAAATTGTACACCTGTAAAAATTGGCTGGATATTTTTAATTGTGTATGCCGATTGCAGATTTATCTCAAGATTTACACAATATTTATGGATGTATCGTATCTATATAGTAATAACTGGAAAATGACTCGCAATGTTAAAAAAAAACAGAAATTAGGATTTTCAGAAATGGAGGTAGACAACTTGACGACGAAGAGTAGTTTTATAATGATATAAATGTAGAAATGATTGGTGAATTTAATCACCTAGGTATGTTATTTCATTACAATGGTCAGTTTTATAAAACAGAGACGTATGTTGCCAATAAAGTAAAGCATATTTTACACAGTAAGTTAAAACGTAACTCTCTAAACAATAAGACTCAGTGTTCAGTATCTGATACTGACTATCATCCTGGGCTATACAAGTGAGATACGGGGGTTCCGTAAAGCCTTGATATAGAAAAAGTACACACAAAGTTTTGTAAATAGTTACATGGTGTCGAAAGGACTACTGGAAATTGTTGATTGTATTTCTAAATAGGAAGGTTACCATTACACTTTATAATAAATTTGAAAATATAAAAATTGAAAACTACTTTAAACTGTTTATTAACAGGTTGTCTGGATTATAGAATTGAATCAATGATGTGTAACCTGTATCAAATCTGAACGAGACAAACTGGGTTTAGCGTATTTATGTGATAACAATGAGCAATGATATTGGACAAACAGAATACAATATGTATACAAACAACACGTTATGTCTAGAATTAGAAACATGTCACGTGAAAATTTATACCAACATTTAATAACAAAGTATGAAAAAATTAGGTTTTCCTCGCATAATTTAGAAGTAGACAATGGTAGAAAACAAAATATCAATAGTCAAGACAGGGTGTGTATGTTGTCATCATCAATCTTCTTCCTCAATGATAGCACAAATTGAAGACGAATTTCTTTTTTTACTTCAATGCCCATTGTATGCAGATTTACCTCAGAAATATACAAAAAAAAAAATACTATCAAAGAAAAACAAGCAAAAAACACTTGTTTAATTATTAATTGTAAACAATGTAAAAGAATTAAGTAAATAACAGGTAATTTTGTATAATTAGTGTTCTGGAAATAAAAAACTGAAAACCTGATAATTAATTGTTAACTTGCAAATTCTCTAATCTCACTCTCCCAGTAGAAATAATCAATTAATATAATGTAACACATATTAATCACTCTCCGTTTCAGTACATGTTTGTGTTTGTATGGTATATGTTAGGGGTCATAATTCCTAACTAATAAAAAGAACTTGAGCTTATCAAACTTTCAAATATCCTCATGGGTTATCCCAATCTTCCACTGGATTTGATATTACAAGTCATCATCGTAGGTATGGAAACGGCGATGTGTGTACTTTTTTTTTGTAATTCTTTTTATTTTCCCCAAATTTTGATACATATAGATAACAGAGAGAATGACATAACATAAACGTACAAAACTGAAAACATAAAGACACTGTAATCAGCTTACATAAACAAACATTACATCCTAGCAACATTCACTCACCATGCACGCCAAGTATTGAGTATAGATGAGGGAAACAGGGGTATTTGTATGAAAATAACTAAATTAGAAGAATAGTACATTTTAACTAAATGTTTAATCTTGTACCAAATAGGAACTAACGTACCCAACTTGGTGTTACAACAGTGTCAAAGGAAAGGTTTCCTCTGTATAAGTTATAACTTCGGAGTCATTCAAACCCTTACCAAAACTACTGATTAAAAAATATCGTTTGACTAAACTCAGCTGCTGTATCAGCTGCACCAACACATTTCCTGGTGGTGGCCCTGATAATCAGTTAAATAACCTGTGGATGTAGAGAGTTCAGATAGGGACAAAACGATTTTTAATTACATATGCGTGAAAAATAGTTTTTATCAGAAGAGAATGTTAACTGTTGTATGACCAATTTTAGATATGTATTTCCACTGAGTTCTAAGTATAGATACCGTTAGTGATAACCCGAAAGGATACTAACATCTACGATTTTTGTACCACAACAAGTGCGAGACACTGTGTATATATATATATTGAAAATGTGGCGAATTCTCCTTGCCCAGTAAATATTGAAAAAAATTTAAAACACTGGAAAACTGGAAAACACATGGTGTAAAACATAGGCGTTTATGTTCTATATCATGTGTTTTCCGGTGTTTTAACTTTTTTGTGTATATGTATATATATATTGACGTAGAGCCTGTATGCATACCTTTGCTCATGGACTTTCACTAAAAAACACATGAAATGAAATAAAGCTGGTTTTGAATCACAGCTGACAAACATTAAACATGCATACAAACCATTGGAAAGTATCACCTTAATTAATCTCAAAACTAGCAGAAATCATCATCACTTCGCGTTTCTTAGCCCTGCTTATCCATTCACGTCGTAACTTTTTAATCTGTAATCTGTGCCTCAGTTCACACACACGTGTACACACACATACACACACACACACACACCCTCTCTCTCTCTCTCTCACACACACACACACACCCACACACCATTACACACCATCACACACACACACACACGCACACACACACACACACACACTCTCTCTCTCTCTCTCACACACCTCACACACACACACACACACACACACACACACACACACTTTCTCTCTCTAAAAAAAATCTTGCCTTTTTAAAATCAGGTTCCCAAAAGACACATACGGTACATACAAACCTAGAACTCAAGAAAGCAAATTACATGGACTAACCCATACCAAGTGTGCATGAGTACAAAATCGTGAGTAACGTTATGCGTGCATCATTTTTTTGGTAAGGTTTATTTGTATTGTGCCAGGTGCGTAGCTAGCCCAGCAGAAATGTGTAAACCCACTCGAGGGGTCTGGGGCCGCTTAGGTCCCCAGCGGGTCCAGGGCTGGGCCCTGGTGGGGGATCAGCGGGGCGAAGCCCCCCTGACGGAAAATGAATTTCATGATTTCAAAAATGTTTTGAATCTTTTTCTGAGACAGTTTTTTTTATTTATTTAACAACAAAACCCCTGACTAAAATAAAAGACTTCATTTTGTTTGAAAAACTTGTCGATCGACGTCTGTAATCCAGAAGCCTTCTTCATTTTCAAAATTTGCACTTTAACAACATTATAATATAAATAATCAACAAAATATTAGATATTTATTTTCAGTTTTGTAATTTTGTCCGACATACTCTATGCACGGATTTTTTTATGTGTAAGCCCGGGTTTTTTCTTTCTATGGAAGCTACGCCCCTGGATTCTGATATATTGATGCAATATCAAGTAAATCTGTAGGTAGTAATTGTAGACACGTTTATGAAATTACTCACAGGTGATGTCTGGATCGTTATTTTTCTAAGAATACTATGAGGTATGTCCCCATTTGGTATATGATTTCAGTGCTGGATACCACTAGGCAAGCGCTAGTAGTACACACGTTTAAGACTGTTGATTCGCGAGACTTTATCAGTATGTTAAATACTAGTGCACTTGGCCTGTTACAGGTGATGGAACTATCTACCCCAATATAAAGTAGGTAATAGTCGGTGCCCTAGACTATCTGTTATTATCAAGGCTTCTCGAAGGGAGGGCATATATAAAGTCGCCGCTTTGTCCGTCCGTTCTGTCGTCCTGCCGTCCGTCATAATTTTGTCTGGAGCATAACACAGACTTCAAAGATAAATAAATCTCAACAAGGAGAAGTGTAGTGTGCAAGAACCATCATCCTCTTTTGCATAATTTAAGAGTTATCGCCCTTTGTTTTTATTCATACATGAAATTTGTCCCATTCGGGGAGTATAACTTGTATGCGGTGGGCCCTTGCTTTTACCTGCGACAATGAGCTTGTTTTTATTATTTTGTAAAGTCTTGTGAATTTTATACTTAAAAAAATAATAAATAACAAAAGAAATATTTACAAATTTAAAACTGAAAAAGAAATGAACTAAAGATCATCGTGTGTTGAGACGAGACATATTCTACAAAAATTACATTGTTATGGAAATTAATCAATAATAATAACAACATTGGATGTGTCAACATCATTTATCAAACATAAGTCAATACTACTTATCCTCAGGTAACAATGGCCAGATGGAAGGGGCGGTACAGTGTAGGAGGACTGCTAGGGGTAGCAGTCGACTGACAAGGCTGAAGACAGGTGCTCCAGAACATTGTCGTGTATAATCAGAAAGACACTGACATGATATAGAACCAAATATTTTGTTAGACCTTTTCCCTCGTCAATGTGCAAGATGTAACTGTGCGATAATCATAAAGCACAAAAAAAATTCTCTCGTTTGTTGCAAGATTTTTCAAACTAAGAATATTAAAAAAGAAATATTACGACACAGATAACATAATTACACGTAGCTAGTGCAACAGTTTAACATACTAAAAATAAAGTAGAACGGTCATGCTGATCGAAACACAAAGCTGTCGGGTGGTTAAACACATGAAGACATATTGGTCCAATGCTTTGGTTGGTTGACAGGTTTTCCGTCTCCGCGACTCCTCACGTGTCCGGGAATCGTTTGACCGACGATCGCCATCGTTCTCGTGACGTTTGGTCTGGTCTATATCTGTGTATATATATATCGAGGCACTAATCCATACGTCCCTATATCAAATCAGGTTCATTCCCTCTGGAAATACCTACAAAATATTTTAATTTACGTAGATTTTTATTCAGTTGTGACGCCATTTATTTGTTACACGTGCATTTAAGCTATTCAGTTTCAGAATGAAATAGGCTAACAAATATTACCCAACAGAAACGAAAGTCCACAGTGATCACGTGATTAATAAAAATAAACATGGCGGACATCAGGACAAGAATTCTGCAGCATTTACAGAGACAGAAAAACCAGAAATGCAAGTTAACTGACTTACTTTGTGCAATTCATGTGAAGAAAAAGGTGTTAAACGCAGAGTTATATAGACTTCAGCGGCAGGGATTGATTAAAAAGATACAAAATGCTCCACCAATCTGGCAAATGCAGAATCAGGATGCTCCGTTTTCTTACCCATTCACCCCATCTATGGTTCAAAAGACTCGTCAACACGAGAGTTTCTCAAGAGGCAGAGGGAGAGGACGAGGAAGGGGGACTATACGTGGACTTAAACGTGGAGTTAACTCTCAAAACAGAAAAGTAATGATCGATATTCAGTATTTAATTAAAGGTGTTCCCGAGAAATAACCGGAATTCTAGTTTCGGTTTCGATTTTTGTTTCATGTCATTATTGTATACAGTGTTAATTACCACTTCTGTGGATTTTTAAATAACCTAGATATAGAATACTAATGGGAATACACACCTTGAATGTGTTGTCCTGGCATGATTACAATAAAATACCGGTATACCTGTTAACAATTGCTATTTTAAGAATTATGCTAACGTTAGCTTATTTGATCAAGTATATAAGCCGTCAGTTGGTATGTAGAAATATTCTTCCGATAATTTGCTAACCATTGTCGCTTTAAGGTAGATGTCACTTGTAGTTTATAATGAATTTTCATACTATTGTTCACATGGTAAGAATGTTGTAATGTACCAACAAGAATACTCGGTTGAATTGACTTAAAATCTTGATTAGCCTAAGACATCACAAGTCTTAATATTTGTCATGTTGATTTGGTTTTACTTCATTAATTTGAGAATATTTGGGCACACACGATAATTATTTAAACTATTATTATAAGTTCAGCTTAAATGAGATGGAACAGAATGCCATATTTTTGAACACTAATTCTATACTGTGTTAATTTTATTGCTTCATGTTACAACATTTTCTTTTGTAGTCATTCAAAAACAGCAAGAGAGTGGATCCTGAGTCTGTAGGAGCGATTATGGCTTTTCTACAGAGACAAGATACACCAGTGAAGACGTACGATATTGCCAAATCACTTGGACTGTCAACATCGTCTGAAGTTAATCCATTGTTGTATTGGATGTCTGACAATGGACAAATTCATAGGGTATCAGAGCAGCCTGCACTGTGGACAGCCCAACCACTTCATACTGATTCAACTACTGTCACAGATATTGGGAGCCAACAAGCCGGATATAACGCTGAAGATATGTTCACAGATATTGGTGATGTTCATTTAAATCTTGTGGAACCATCATTGCAGGAAGGACCTCTATTCACTGGACAATATGCTGGTGCAAGTCACCAGGAACAGAATGTGAATCTCAATCAGTATAATGAATTCTGGCCTCCAGGAGATGACAGTAGTCAAACTGGCAGTGCCTCTGATTGTGACATGAATCTGAAAGTGAAAGTAGAGTCTGACGACAGCAAAGAAGATGCAAGTAATATCAGTAGTCCAAGTGAAGGACTTATGGTTACCGAAAGCATAAATGAAACTGCACCACATAAAGTATCAGATTATCTCAGTGGCCAAGATACCAGGAAACAGGAAACTTCTCAGGGTGTTAGTACAGAGGTGAAATTAGAGCCTGGAGCAACTTTATCAAATGTAGACAAGTTATTACAAACTTTGCTGGGGTGTACATTGAAAATGGCAAAGAGTTTTGTATTGGTACACAAGATGAAAATATCACAAGACAACATCATGGAGTTGATTCAAGAAGCAAGGAAGTTGAAATATGTCAGTGACCAGGATGGTGTGTATGTTTTAGATAAAAAGGGTGAGGAGTACATTCGTAATAAATTGCGCATCTGTGGCAATGAGGAGCAAGTTAAGATAAGCTCCAGTGGACCAAATATAAATCCAATTCAACCCCGGGTACATTGTACAGGAAAACCATTAAGTCCATTTGAAATCCTAGGTCGAATGGCACGTTCTTCATCTGTTGATGTAACAACAAATCGTTTCCCTCTCAATGTTAATACAAATGTGGGAGTGGTACCTCGTATGCCAAGCTTGTTCCCTGTAAGATGTACTGCTAATAATTCTGTTTCAGTAGGATCAGCCGAGCCAGTGCAAAGCGATCAAACAAACTCTGTCATATCAAGACTGATGAAAATAGCACAGTCAGAACCCTCACAAATCCAATTGACCTCAACTTCATCACCTCATTCATCACATCAGTCATCTTTGTCTCAACTCTCATCCTACCGATCATCACCACAATCATCTGAAACCACACTTCAGCCATCAGGTGTTCCGCAAACCTCCGGACCTATGCGGGAGCCAAGCCCTCAAACTTTGTCTGGGAGCTTCAGACGTCCACAGGCTCCACTAGAGCTTGTCCGTCAGCAACTCAAACAAACTGAGATTTCATCTTTAAGTGATTCATCTTCTCCAGTAAATACTGGACTTGCAAATGCTGGTATGCAGAAACTTTTGAGCACTGGTTCTCACAATGCAAAAGTACCTTCTCTATTTCTAGGTAGGGGAGGTAACTCTAGTCAAGACGTGTCAGGATTTCACACCCAGCAACCACATTCCTTACCAGTAATGGGAGGAACCCATGAGCCCCCATCTGTGTCTGGGCCAAAAAGCCTTAGTCTTGACTTTTCCACAGAGAGCTTTGCTGCCCTCAACAAAAATCCAGTCAGTGCTTTGATGGAGTATGCACAGTCAAGGCACAAGGTTGCCAGGATTGAGGTCATTCGTCAGTCTGGCCCTTCTCATCGTCCGAAGTAGGTCATATTTATCTTTACAAGAATTTAAAAGCCTCAAATAAATTGCTTCGTATTTTACACAACATCAATGAAATGAAATTTGAAAAAAAAGCATATAACAAAATTTATAGTCATATTCATTAAGGCAGATGTATACCCACCTTGCTGTACCAAAGGTATAATTTTACTATTTGGCATTTAAAGATTTTTTTTGTGCTTAGATTCCAGATGGGGGTGTTTATTGGTAATGAGCAGCTGTCCACAGTAACATGTACCAACAAAAAAGATGGCAGGAAGGAAGCAGCCGATATGGCTCTCCGAGCTTTGATAGTGGAAGGAAAATATAATGCTGAGAAAATTCCTGTAAGTATATCATTATCAATAAAGTTATAGAAAATTCCTGTAAGTATATCATTATCAATAAAGTTATAGAAAATTCCTGTAGGTATATCATTATCAATAAAGTTATAGAAAATTCCTGTAAGTATATCATTATCAATAAAGTTATAGAAAATTCCTGTAAGTATATCATTATCAATAAAGTTATAGAATGTTATGTTCCTATGGTGTATGTTCAAAATTAGTTCATGTTTTTATATCACATATATTAAATCTTTGCAAGATAGCTGTTTTAAACTTCTATCATATGCTACTTTATTGTACTGTAACGTTTGATAATTGATATCAAAGTACAATTATGGCATCAACAGTATGAAGGTAAAGTGATTTAGAATACATAATCCTGTGAAAATATGGAAATTCAATAATTCACATCTACCTTGAATCAGTCTCTGTTTGAGAAATTACTTGAATTACTACAGTATGTTGACATGTTCTTTCAAATGCATTACTTGAATATAGACCAAGAATGCCATCCCTGCCTCCCAGATGACCCACTTTGATCGTGTGGCTGCACTGACCCACCAACACTTCAATTCTCTTGTGGCAACCATAGCTGACAATTTTGCTGGCCGTAAGGTCATTGCTGGACTTGTGATGAAAACGTCTGAAGCTGACCTTGGCACCGTCATATCTATAGGAACAGGTGTGTATTTCTGATTAGGCCATATACCACATATGATGTATGTTTATTGGGCCATGATATCTCAGTCTGAGAGAACATTTGCCTACTCTGATGGTTTGTGTACCTCAGTAAGCTGAGAAAAGACAAGTTTCTGTTTAACCCTTTCGGTGGCAATTATCTCTTACAATGTACAGCTCAGCGCCAAATATTTTCCAGAAAATATCCGAAAAACAATGGCAGCATTACTGAAACAAGCATATCTTGGCTAATAATAAAGATATTAACTTTGTCGACCGAAGTCGCCTACGGCGGCCTGTCTGCATGTTGACTTTAGTCACCTATGGCAAAAAAGGGTTAAATGGTTGTCTTGTTGAAACTTTACCCTTGTGTAGTGGATCTCCTGTATGTTGTTCAGCGAGGTAGTCACCAACTATTACAGGGAGACCCTGTCTCAAAATGACACTGACTGTTCACAGTGTGATAAACATAGCAAAGAAATTAACATACAAAGAGAGAAACATATCTGTATCATTTGTAGTTTTGAAATCCTTTGACCTAGCCATTGTTGCCTATATCAGAGGTCACCATACCTATATCAGAGGTCACCATACCTATGTCAGAGGTCACCATACCTATATCAGAGGTCAACATATAATGTAAACTTTTTTCAATATTCACTTGACAATAAAGCCTAATTTTGTTCTATCTTCTTATGTTGACTGTAATACACTATACAGTTGTTTTGAGTTGTCGCTGTGTAAGTAAGTATTTGTGTTTCCAAGGTAACCGCTGTATCACTGGGCAGCAGCTGAGCCTGGAGGGAAACACAGTCAATGATTCTCATGCGGAAATCATCACTCGTCGGGGCTTCATTAGGTAAGCCAACAAGTAATCAGCTGAATGCATTATATTAATTTCTACGTCTCTATTTACATTAAAGGTTTGGTTGGAGAATAAAATTTAATCATTGCACTACAAGTATGCTTTTAATAGAGTGAAGTTTCTTTTTAACAACCCTTCATACATTTATTTTTGCATGGTTACAGCAATTTGTTATTTAGTTATTTGATTTAGAAACAAAGGAAAAAAAGGAAGGCTTCGATTTGATGCCTTATGAAAAATGGTATATAGATCTATTTCACTGCTGTTTTCTGTCAGTTGGAATAGATACAAAATCTGTATAACAACTTGAAATAGAAAACATCAGAGCATTTACATTTATTGCAGGTTCCTTTACAAAAAATTGTTGACCTTTGAACCCAATGGCCCTAATGGTTTCTTTGTGAAGGCACCATCAGGAAAGTTAAGGATCAGAGATGGAATAACATTTCACCTGTATATATCTACTGCACCATGTGGGGATGGTGCTCTCTTCTCTCCAAGGTATTTATCTCCCCTGACCGATTATCAGTTACTGTAACACCAAGTGTTATTGAGTTTGACTTTATACATTGACCTGAAGGTCTAGAAAATTGCTTGTTCAATCCACAAATGCATCTTATGATATTGATACGAAATGTAATATTTTGTAATAAAATGTGTAGGTTGTCATCCTATTGTAATTACTCAGGACATGTTCTGTGTGTACTAGAAAAAAATTAATTCTCTTCAGCTGAATACAGTCTGCATTACGATTACCTTATATCAAACACTTTAACAAACAGAGATTCTGCCTCCAACAATACTCCACTGGCGACATTAACAGACAGGACCCACCACCCAACATTCACCAGCCAGGTACAGGGGCTGCTTCGTACTAAGATGGAGGGAGGTAAGATTCTTAATGCTTGTTAGTGAGATGAACAAAAATACTGAAAAGTTATAAGTTTTACAAATTTAGAGACAGGAAAACTGTTAAGGCAAGTTAATAGATAACATGGTGTGTAGGTGGAGTGATGCTACTAGTACTCTCTGAGGTTATCTGATTGGAGGTTAGCCATTCAGGCATAAGAAGGAATAAGTCAATTTGTATTGAAATCCAAAACGAAAGAAAATTTTATAGTGTGTATGAAACTGTCTTCAGGTATGATACATGACTGATAATCAGTTATTTTTTGTTTTCATTCTTATACTAACTGAATTTTCAAAATAGGGCTTTGTATACAGCTAGGTATCCTCCTAAAACCTGGTACATTCATGCTTTTAAAACACAACAAAAACTTGTACATATTGGACCATGGTTCTTGGGGGTTGTTGTCTCCTCTTGAAGAATTTTTTGCTGCAGACTTAAATCAAAAGATGAAAACTCATTTTACCAGACTTAACACACATTTATCAAACGTTTGGTTAATAGTCAGGCATATCTGCCTTACATTCCAGTACTTTCTAATTCTTAGGTGTATCATTCCTGTACGAAAGCAGAATGACATCTTTCATTCCAAACATTATGTGTTGTTACAGTTATTTTTTCACTATTGTTTCAATTTATCCAAGGGGAGGGAACCATTCCGGTTGAACCTGACTTTACTGTTCAGACGTTTGATGGTATCCAGAGAGGAGAGAGACTAAGAACGATGTCCTGTACTGACAAAATCTGTAGATGGAATGTTGTTGGTATGCAGGGAGCCTTACTCAGCCACTTTTTAGAACCTGTCTATCTAGACTCCCTAACATTGGGTAAGTTTTCTGGATTTTATGACACTACCATGACTAGAAGTCTTTCATGTTCCAAGTCAATGTCATATCAGTTTACTTCCTGTTTACACCATTGTATCACAACAGCATGTTTTACACCTTATCAAATAAAGATGATCATAGGTCAAGGTTAAAGTGCCAAAGGTCACATTTGACCGCTTCTGCTAATTCATCAAACAATATTACTTATATACATTGGAGATGGTGCACATATGTTTTAAACTATTTTTTTATTAGAATCATGTTACTCACAAATAATAATGTAATACATGTACAGTATTAATTGTAGATAGATTTGAGATATACTGTTTATTGGGAAACATTCATCCTGGTATTTTTTTGCCCTCTTATAAAACTGTCAATCTTTACTTAGAATTCAGTTTTTCCTGAAATACATAAAAATTGTGTATTTCCACTTCAACATAAAAATTCCCCACTCCTATCATTTTCTCTCTATTGGAAAAGGGTGAATTGGATAAAAGTTAACATTTGACAAAAAATTTCCTGCATATAGAAGTTTTGATAGGGTTTATGGACATTCTAGAAGAACCTGTATCTGAGAATAATACGGTATATTCCTTGTTATTGAAACTAAGGGAATGTAGAAGCTTAATTCTAAAGCATACCAGTTGTCTTGGAATCATTACAGGGTTAAAACTATGAGAACTTCACAAGCATATTACTAATTATTATAATTATAAAACTACTTAAACAAGCTTCAATGTATTATCATTAGTAATAGATATATGAATGTGACAAGTTGGAATCATTTGCAGTTGTCAATTCTTTCTGATATTGGCAGGATTCCTGTTTGACCCTGGTCATTTGGCCCGAGCTGTGTGTTGCCGTGTAAACAGAGGTGACACAGACATCAACACCATGTTGCCTCAAGGCTACCACCTGAACCACCCCTGGTTAGGACGTGTGACAGCTGTGGAGCCATCACGAGAGACACAGAAAACTAAAGCCCTCAGCATTAACTGGTGTTATGGCGACGAAAAGCCGGAGGTCACAGATGGAACACAGGGACTGTGTTACACTAAGTAAGGGTCAGAGCTTAAACACAAATAATGGTCAGAGGATATACTTTAAATGAGTGTCAGAGGTCAAGGACAACAATTATGGATTGAGAACTGATTTGCTTATAATAAAACCAATTACTCATATTTTTCAGTTTTATTCTATAGACACATTTTTCAGTATAATTCCATAGACACATTTTTTCAGTATCATTCCATAGACACATTTTCCAGTATCATTCCATAGACACATTTTTCAGTTTTATTCTATAGACACATATTTCAGTTTTATTTTATAGACACATTTTTCAGTATCATTTCATAGACACATTTTTCAGTATCATTCCATAGACACATTTTTCAGTTTTATTCCATAGACACATTTTTCAGTTTTATTGCATAGACACATTTTTCAGTTTTATTCTATAGACACATATTTCAGTTTTATTTTATAGACACATTTTTCAGTATCATTCCATAGACACATTTTTTAGTATCATTCCATTGACACATTTTTCAGTATCATTCCATAGACATATTTTTCAGTTTTATTCTATAGACACATTTTTCAGTTTTATTCTATAGACACATTTTTCAGTATCATTCCATAGACACATTTTTCAGTTTTATTTTATAGACACATTTTTCAGTATCATTCCATAGACACATTTTTCAGTTTTATTCTATAGACACATTTTTCAGTATCATTCCATTGACACATTTTTCAGTATCATTCCATAGACATATTTTTCAGTTTTATTCTATAGACACATTTTTCAGTATCATTCCATTGACACATTTTTCAGTATCATTCCATACACATTTTTCAGTATCATTCCATAGACACATTTTTCAGTTCATTATTTTTTCAGTTTTATTCTACACATTTTTCAGTATCATTCCATAGACACATTTTTCAGTATCATTCCATAGACACATTTTTCAGTTTTATTCTATAGACACATTTTTCAGTATCATTCTATAGACACATTTTTCAGTATCATTCCATACACATTTTTCAGTATCTTTCCATAGACACATTTTTCAGTTTTATTCTATAGACACATTTTTCAGTATCATTCTATAGACACATTTTTCAGTATCATTCCATAGACACATTTTTCAGTTTTATTCTATAGACACATTTTTCAGTATCATTCCATAGACACATTTTTCAGTTTTATTCTATAGACACATTTTTCAGTATCATTCCATAGACACATTTTTCAGTATCATTCCATAGACATATTTTTCAGTTTTATTCTATAGACACATTTTTCAGTATCATTCCATTGACACATTTTTCAGTATCATTCTATAGACACATTTTTCAGTATCGTTCCATAGACACATTTTTCAGTTTTATTTTATAGACACATTTTTCAGTATCTTTCCATAGACACATTTTTCAGTTTTATTCTATAGACACATTTTTCAGTATCATTCTATAGACACATTTTTCAGTATCATTCCATAGACACATTTTTCAGTATCATTCCATAGACACATTTTTCAGTATCATTCCATAGACACATTTTTCAGTATCATTCTATAGACACATTTTTCAGTATATTAAAGAGAAATAACTTTAAATCAGTATGAGATGCAATTGCAAAAGGAAAATATTGGAAAATAATTGTTCATTATTGGATAATCGTTGAAAAAGATGGGAGCAGATTTTTCTTTGTTAAAGACTCAAATTAAAGTTTTGCTTTCAGTACAGTTACCTTCTTTATGATATGGTTAAAGTATAATTTGGATCTCGTTGATTTTTCAGCATCGAGAAAGGACTTTTCTCTCGCTGTACAAAGAAAAACCTGTATGACAGTTTTAAACAAGTGTGTCGAAAATTTGGACAACAGGATTTGCTGCAGTTTCAAACATACAACCAAGCCAAAATGGCTGCCACAGATTTCCAGGAATCAAAGAAACTCATGTTGAAGAAAATGTCTGAAAGCAGTTATGGTACCTGGGTATCAAAACCTATAGAGGAAGAGATGTTCAGCTGATAACAATTTAAGTCCCAGTAGCAGTGGAAAATATGTAGAAGTTTCAGTGATCAGTAAATGGTTGTCTATGACATAAGGTTCCTCTGTGAGTCATGAATGGTTATCTTAGACAATGAGTAATTAATGACTGCTTAAGACGTCACACTCCTTTTTGAGTCTCCAGTGGTTATGTAGGACATTATACTCTTGATAAACAAAATCTTCTCTTTAACATTAGGCTCCCCAGTGAGTAACTAATGGTAACCTGCAGCGTCAGACTAGTTACCTCCAGATTCTCCAGTAACCTATGGTTACAAAATTGAACAAATTCTGTAAGAAACCAACGGTAACTTGAGGCATCAAGCTAGCTACACAAGATATGGCCTTCTCCAGTAACTAATGCTTATGAAATTCAACAAAAGTCTTCAGTGAGAAACCAGTGGTTACCTGAGGCATCAGGCAGGTTACAGGAATTATCATGCTCCATATTACACCTGTATTCTGATGCATCAGGCAGGTTACAGGAATTATCATGTTCTATATTACACCTGTATTCTGATGCATCAGGCAGGTTACAGGAATTATCATGTTCTATATTACACCTGTATTCTGATGCATCAGGCAGGTTATAGGAATTATCATGTTCTATATTACACCTGTATTCTGATGCATCAGGCAGGTTATAGGAATTATCATGTTCTATATTACACCTGTATTCTGATGCATCAGGCAGGTTACAGGAATTATCATGTTCTATATTACACCTGTATCCTGATGCATCTGGCAGGTTATAGGAATTATCATGTTCTATATTACACCTGTATTCTGATGCATCAGGCAGGTTACAGGAATTATCATGTTCTATATTACACCTGTATCCTGATGCATCTGGCAGGTTACAGGAATTATCATGTTCTATATTACACCTGTATCCTGATGCATCTGGCAGGTTACAGGAATTATGCTCCATATTACACCTGTATTCTGATGCTAGTCTTTGTTATAGATATTAATTTTGTAAAATTTACAGATTTAGAGGCGTAGTTTATTTAGTTTAAAGACAGTGTGTGAATTCTTCACAACACTACTGAAAATTTGAACTGTTAGTGTCATTCCAGTAAAACATCTATCCCACCCCAGGTCTCAAGGTTTTGTTGAGGGGTACTATACATAATCAATTTTAATTTATCATTTACATAGAAGTGCATTGTAATAGGCAGGAAACCGAACTAAGGACAGAATTGATATATATTGGAGTTAAAGATTCTGGAACATGTTTTAGTGGAATTGACCTTAGGTTGTACATGAAAACTTTTTACCAAGAGATTTTTATTTGATATACACATAGTTTAAGTTTACTATGTGCAACAATGCATTGTCAAGTTAACTTTTATTACTGAATATTGTAGATTTTCCACACAGTTTTATTTTCTTGGAACTTGTGGGTACTCGTGATGCACAAATTCACACATTAATAATACTGATGAAAATTTTTACAGAAACTTTATTAATTTTGTGAGCAATAATGATTCAAGAAAATCATGTGCACTGGAATTTTTTTTTTCTTCTTTTGAAAATACATGAACTTTAAGCTCCACAAAAATATGTGATTTTATAGTTTATTATTATGATTATCATGTCTTTTAATTGTGTTAGTTGAAAAATTACATATTCAGAATTTACTTTGATAAGGGGATCTCATCTGTTTGTATGACTAAAGTACAGTTTATAAAAGCTTGCTTTAGCTTGAAATTGGATTTAATTGAAAATGAGGTGGATTTTCAAGTTAATTTAATGATTTATAAGATATTGTGTAATTGTTGTATTCATTGTAAAAATATGAAGCGCAAAAATTCTTGCAGGAAGATACAGGATTGAACATAATGGTCCTGAAAATTCTTTGTTTTATAGATTATATGTTTTTATAAAGGGACCAAAAAAGCTTGCTATTCAGTATTTCGAACCAAATTAATATGAATGGTTTAATTTTTGATATTGAGAGAAAAATGTTTCTTTAAGAAAAACAAAAATCTTGAAAGCTTTTTTAGTAATGTTATTAACTGCCATTCTGTTACATTTTGTAATTGACAAAATATTTATTTAACTGTTAATTTTCTTGTACAAATTTATTCACAACATTGAATAATTTTATGTGATGGCTAGACAGTCATTATAGATAGTATTGATAAAGAATCTAGTTTATTTCAAAGCTTAATTGTCAAACAAAGTCAGCTTTTTGTTAGATTAGTTTATTTTTGGATTATTTGACCACTGAACTACATCCACCAACATAGTAATACAAGTTTGTCATGTTCAACTTTTGAAATTACAAAGTCAGTGTTTCTGTAGAAGTTATCACAGAACTGTAAAATTAAATTGTTGTTAGTTTATACCTGTGCTACCCGTATAGAATGGCTTAAGTGGTGATGGAAATGTTTAGCCTTACACCTCATCTACAGCCACTGTTTTACATTTACATTTTGTACCCTATTATTTTCATGCTAAGAACAGATTCAGTATTTGTGAATTATTAAAAAAGATGAAGAGTATCACATTTTAGCAGAATATTGTCATTTAAACAGGGACCTAGAATGTTAAAGACAGAAACATACTGGTTAGTATAACAGTGGATAGAACTGTTTGTCAATAAACCTATTTTACCCACATAGAGGAAGACTTCAGTGTAGGTCAGATAGGACAATAAGGTCAGATAGGACAGTGTGTCAATAAACCTGTCTTAACTGACAATGACAGAAACTTAGTGGTTAATATTACTGTGGATGGAACAGTTTGATAATAAACCTATCTTTTCCCACATAGAGGAAGACTTAAGTAAAGGTCAGATAGGACAGTAAGGTCAGATAGGACAGTGTGTCAATAAACCTATCTTTACCCACATAGAGGAAGACTTAAGTGTAGGTCAGATAGGACAGTAAGGTCGGATAGGACAGTGTGTCAATAAACCTATCTTTACCCACATAGAGGAAGACTTAAGTAAAGGTCAGATAGGACAGTAAGGTCGGATAGGACAGTGTGTCAATAAACCTATCTTTACCCACATAGAGGAAGACTTAAGTAAAGGTCATTTTAAGGTCAGATAGGAAGTGTGTCAATAAACCTATCTTTACCCACATAGAGGAAGACTTAAGTCAACGTCAGATAGGACAGTAAGGTCTGATAGGACAGTGTGTCAATAAACCTATCTTTACCCACATAGAGGAAGACTTAAGTGTAGGTCAGATAGGACAGTAAGGTCAGATAAGACAGTGTGTCAATAAGCCTGTCTTCATTAATATTGAGGGAAACTGAGCCATGTGATTGGACAGGAGATTTCATAGGTTGTCCTTAAATATTGTTAAAAAACCCCAGCTGAATATCACCTTACAATACAAACTTTTATATAATTAGATAGTCATATAGTGAATTAAACAACATTACTCATCAGTAATGCTTAAGTCCAAAATTTTCAAACCAAGAAATTGACTGAGGAGAATCTAAATTGATAGAACAAAATGTCGAAATCTAAATTTGGAAAGGCTCTAGCCCCACAATTCAACCAATTGCGTAATTTTCAAATTTAGACATGAACTTACACATGTACATTCTGAACCATACCACTGTTGAACTGAAATGTAGCCCGTGTTACATGAAATAAAAGTTGGTTATTTAAAGTATTTTTGTAACATTTGACATATAAATACCATATATTTGCATGTACACTTGAAATGCATTTAATCTGGATTGTGTTCATCTGTATACTACTAGATCATAGAATGTTGCTGACATCATGTCTCAATGCTTTGCATGTCACTTAGATAATGTAAGAGCAGGTCAGTGTGGCTTGTACAATAGCTTTACCGTAATCTTGTAGATGGTTGTGATAATCATGAAGCTTGACATTGATATTTTTAGCTAAGAAATATAACTATAGCATTTATTGCAAATATGAATCTGACAACAAATTTATTCTCATAACACAAGATTTCAAAATTTTGATGGTGCAAAATTTTAATGTTATATTTTGGATAAAAATTACAAAAATTAGGGCCTGCAGTAATAACCAGTGATACAGCATTCAACAATTTTTTTCACACTATCAAAAACAAATTCCTTAGTTACATATTGGATATGCTTTCTGTTTCAATTACAAACATCAGTGTATGTATATTATGTATAGAACTGGTTTAAAGAGAGTCACTCTATAAATGGCAGTTTGAATGTCATGGTGTTACATAGAATGGAAAATAATGTGATATGTGTGGAAGTGAAAATTTTAAGTTTGTCCCGCAAAAATAAATTGGTTCATATGATTTTACCAGAATTGTCCAGTAATAGGTCTAGGAGGCCTAAACTACTAACTTCTAGTTCAAAGTCAGCCAATTGTTAGACAATGATGTAGTATTTGCTTGAAAGTTTATTGAACCATATAAAGGGGCGGGCTTATTACCTGGCATGGGCTTATTGCAGGATCATTGAACCACACTATAAAGGGGCAGGCTTATTACCTGGTATGGGCTTATTGCAGGATCAATATATGGGTATATAATGTCTGAGGGAGCATATGGCCTGGTAAGTACCATTCAATCAATGTTTGGTGTAGCATTCCTTAGGGGTAACTTTTTTATCCAAACTTCTGTACTTCTCCCTAAGTTTTCCACCAAATCTGATAAATATTCTTCAGGTAAGCTACTGTCTTTGTGTGCATTTGAAGCTTTATATGAAAAACTGTTAAAATCTTCATTCTGAAATAACCTCATGTCTGGTAATAAGCCCACTCATGTCTTTTGCAGTTCATTGGAAATGATAACAAATCCTTCTTCATTGTCTTATGTTTGCCTTATAGGCATATTACATGATGAGCAAAATATGTATTCCAAATAGGAAATGAAACACAGAGACATAGAGATGAGGATATGATCCTAAAGTCATGTTTTATGAACTGTAACATTGACTGCTTACAGAATATATGTATTGTTTATGCCTGTCTCTTGTTATTTATGAATACGATCCATGACTATTTAATTGATAACTCTTTGTATAGTAACAGTGACCTACTGCTCTGTAACTTGAAATTGGTCTGACATGTTAGATGAACATGCCGAGATTGGGTTCTTGGATTATTAGGAAACATAATATACTCAGCCATTTACTGAAGCTGCAGGTGTCAATTTCTTCATTTCCTCTCTGTATGTTTAGCTCACCTGGCCTGGAGGGCCAAGTGAGATATTGGGATACCGTGGCATCTGTTGTCTGTCATTTTTTTCTATAAAACGCTACTAGTCGTGAACGACTGAGGGGATTTTGTCAAAATTTGGTCAGAAGCATCTATGAGTGAATGAGAATCAGTTTTGTATAAAAAATTGGGTCTCAACCCCTGAGGCAGGTGGAGTGGGGCCAAATATAGTAAATGAAGCAAATTCTTTAAAATCCTTCTCCATTGTACAAATGATTTGATTTTGTCCAGGTTTAGATTAAAGAATGTGAGGGTGAAGAGAAACCAATTTTGTATAAACGATGTGTCTTAGCACCCTGGGGTGGAAGTAGGGGGAGCCTAATAGAAGAGATAGAAAAAAATCTTTGAGATCCAAGTCCTCTTGTAGAAATGATTGGATTTTGCCTAAATTTGGTCTGTAGCATGTTTCGCCGAATGGAAATCAATTTTGTTTAAATAGTCTTGGCCCCCTAGGACAGGAGGAGAGGGGCTCGTTAGGGGAAATGTATTATTTCTTTGAAACAGTTGAGATCCCCACCCCATAACCATATATAGCATTGCAAGATATCATGAAATAAACTCATTCATGATGTAAAAATTGGCCCTGGGGTTAGCCCCACCCCACAGAACTTAGTTTCTGGGTTATATTTTTGAAACAGTTGAGATCCCCTCCCCTGAATCATATATAGCAATGCTGGACATTAAGAGATAAACACATTTATGATTTTAGAACTGGCTCTTGGGTGTGGCCCCACCTCTCTGGACTTAATTTCTTGGTTACTTCTTTGAAACAGTTGAAATCCTTATCCCATAACCATATATAGAATTGCTTTGCATCATGAGATAAACATTTTGTTACACAAGAATTGACCCTTGGGTGTGCCACAACTCTAGGGACATTATCTCCGGGTCATGTTAAATATTAACCTGATACTCATATAAAATCTTACTGAACATCATAATACAGTCATGATATAATGATTTACCCATTGGTCTTGCGCCATCAACGAGGTTAAGTGACTTAATTTGGAAATATTCTAACTTTTAGCATGTACACCATTGCTGGGGTTTAAGATCCAGGTGAGTGATACAGGTCCTATGGGGCTCTTGTTTATGTTTGTATGAAAGGTACAATATAGTAGGTAATATCTGAGGTCAGTTAGTATTGCATGAAATAAAAGACCAATATTTTACAATAAATAAAAAAAACATCATAAAATTCCTTCCTGTTTGCTGCTTAAGATGGTGATACACAAAATTAAATCACCACAAACTAGCTCAAAGAGAAACAACAGCCAGTTATTATGCCTGCAAAATAAACAACTATGCACTATGGTTTTGGATACACAACACACACACCATGTCTATGAATTTTGTAATAATGATTTATTGCACTTTTTGGCAATTAAAAAATTGAAAAAATGAGAGGTTCAATTTAAAACAAATTTCATATGAAATTTTTAAAGTAGAACACCCGTCTGAAAATGTGCCTGGTTTAAAAACCAACAATTAGCAATCAGAATTCAGTATAATTGAAAAAATATCCATTTTCTTCCATAAGCAAGTGTTCTTCATGTAAAAACTGTCCATAAGACAACACAGACAGGTTTGTTCATTATCACAGTTCATCCTCAGGAATTGTAATACATTCTGTTTGACAGTTGGATGTGCATAAAAAAATTGGATTCTAATTTTGCATATGCAAAAATAATATTAGTCATGCAAAAACTGTCCCAAGGTTGGAATACTTTATTTCTAACGGTATACAATATTTATGCATATGCAATATTTGTTTATAAAAGTATCACACGTTTAATGACATTTTCTCCTTTATTTCTCCCACATATACACGTGTGATGATGTGACATACAAGTATACACATCAAACATCAAATCACACTTAATATGCTATGATCATTCATTCCACATATTACAACCATATCAAATTTCTTCATGATTTTTTTTTTTGTAAAATATATTGGATTTTCTATGAAACTGAATTGATATTTTCTTGCATAATATCTATAATGAATTTTTTGGTTATTTGATATTTTCATAACTCCTTTCATACTCTGTTTTTAAACCTGATCAACAGTATATCAGTAAACACTATTGTAGAGTAATGGAAATGGATCAAAATGTCAAATTGTTCTGTTTTGTTTTGTTTTCAAGCTAAAATGAAACATAACTGAAATGAAACTTAAAACTTACACAGACCACTCTTGTTCTTCTGGGAGAAAAGCGAGGAATGTTGAATTATTTTAATTCCTAATGGTCATCGAAAAGTCTGAACTTGTTCTCCTTTGCAATGACACTCCCAAAACTTTGTATGACCATGGACAACCTGTTACATAAATTTGAAAATTATTTCTCCACTCCATCATGAGAAAAAAGCAATTAAACATTTGACTTTCAAAATGCAAATGATCACCTGAGAGTCATGATGGAATTTATCAATATAATATGATTATTAATTTATCATCAATAAATATAATAAACATGGAAATCAAATAAATTTGAATACATAGGGGTATACTAACAATAATACTTAAACATTATTACATATCAAGTCATTGTCCTACACATGGTAAAACAAACTCTGACTCACAGGTGATATATTGTATAATTGTAACACAGACTGAAATTACTAGTTTCATATTCTCAATGAATAAGAATATGAGGTTTAAATAAATACATGTAGATTATACTGAAATTGTTAAATCTTTGAATCGTTTTAAGCAAAGAAAAAATACCACGGATAAAATTCAACTTAGATTTTGATTGTTACAATAAAAATTATACATACAAGGTACTTGTCTCTTGTGTAAAATGTTTGTGATCTGAGTTACAAATAACATCCTTTACAGTTGTTTCACGTTATTATCTTAGCAAACACATATCCAACAACTATATGTTAAATGATATTGAATTCAAATTTACTTTTTACCAAATGAATACTAAAACTGAAAATTCTAAAAATGAAATTTTTTTCATAAAATGTTTAAATATCTTATTACATTCTGAAATTATCTCATCAATACATGTATACAAATACAGCAACATCGGGTCCATTGTTTTTAGTTCTGAAGAATTTTAAAAACATTCTTAAAAAAAATAAATGCTGTCAAGTACTTTAGCGACATATCAATTTAACAAAATGGAGGCACAAATTAAAAATAAATTTAATATGAAATAATGTGATTTCACTCAAATACCAAATCATGATTAATAATATTAAACAATAACACTTGTTATAACTGAAATACCCACGTAAAAAGTCTCCAGAATAATGGTCACATATATAGGGAAGTTGTTTATCTTTTGTGCAAACAGCAGTTGAAAACTTTATACTGTGATCACACATTTTCAAAAACTTGCAAAATATAGATTTTAATTGCTGTTTTGCTAAAGATAATATACAATATACATCTGTACTAAAAATGATGAATCTCATTCCAGAAATACTTGTTATTACTTTACTACAAATAGTGGTACAGTGACAAGGACATAATGATTCCATATGTAGAAAATTTTGTTCCCTTTGAAAAAATTAAAAAATTAAAATAAAGGTAATAAAGATTGTCTATTAATGAAAAAATATATAAAAATTGATTTGAATTTAATAAATTTACTACACACTAAATTTACTCAATTATCCCAAAATAAGTCTTGTGGCTTCCTAATCTTCTTTAATTTGACAATGGTAAACTTGAAGGATTCAATGTAAACACATATCCAGTTTGTACTCAAAATACTATAGAACTTACTTTTGTTATTATCTAATACAAATTAAATATTTCACCATTGATTCACCTAGAAAAGAACATACTGGTACGTTTGGACATTTATCTTTCTGAAAATACTCTAAAGGTTTCCCTTTAGAGCTAGACATGATTTTTTGGGGTATTTGATTGAATAACTTTAGGTTATTTTAGACAAGGTAAATAAAATATATTAAAATTTCATTATCTATTTAGTTTTAGGACTGTTTATCTAGAAACAAATTTTCCAATAAACAGCTTCCAATCTATCACAGAAATTTTACGAGCAATACCTATTTGTTATACACAAGGAAATTTTTTAAGTTTTGCCATTTATTACTGTCATGGTAGAGGTAGGTCATTGATGACTTGAGTGATGGCTGTAGAGTGTCACTTTCATACTCAAACATCCACAGTACAATTCCCCACACAATGGCTGCAAACCAAGGAAATGTGTCACCACTGGGTTTTGGAATGTAACCTTTCTTCACTGCTAACTTTGCAAGTCCATATAGGATCCGTGACAAGAGATACAGGTTTATCTGGAGGAAATCAAGAAAAATACATTTACCTTGGGAGAAAAAGGTTAGGTAAGTAGGATAAAGCTTATAATTACCAGGGATGTTGTCTATGATGCAGAAAGAGAGAGAAAAAAAGATAGATCTAATTTTCATTTTGAGAAAAGAAAATCACTTTCATGAGGAAAGAAAAAGACCACATGTTTATATGTAAAATAGAAAAGAAGTTCTCAGAAAAGAGCATAAAATGATTGATGGAAAGGAAAAAAGACAGAAGTCAGTAAAATGTAATGTATCTATAGCTTTTCTTTTCTCTATTTCTAGATGAGACAGTGGAGAGACAGGAGCTATCTGAAAGAAGAGAAGGTAACAGTAGAAGTTTATATAGAATTAGAGGAGAGACGGTGGAGAGACGGGAGCTATCTGAAAGAAGAGAAGGTAACAGTAGAAGTTTATATAGAATTAGAGGAGAGACAGTGGAGAGACAGGAGCTAACTGAAAGAAGAGAGGGTAACAGTAGAAGTTTATATAGAATTAGAGGAGAGACAGTGGAGAGACAGGAGCTATCTGAAAGAAGAGAGGGTAACAGTAGAAGTTTGTATAGAATTAAAGGAGAGACATTGGAGAGACAGGAGCTAACTGAAAGAAGAGAGGGTAACAGTAGAAGTTTATATAGAATTAGAGGAGAGACAGTGGAGAGACAGGAGCTATCTGAAAGAAGAGAGGGTAACACTAGAAGTTTAAATAGAATTAGAGGAGAGACATTGGAGAGACAGGAGCTAGCTGAAAGAAGAGAAGGTAACAGTAGAAGTTTATATAGAATTAGAGGAGAGACAGTGGAGAGACAGGAGCTATCTGAAAGAAGAGAAGGTAACAGTAGAAGTTTATATAGAATTAGAGGAGAGACGGTGGAGAGACAGGAGCTATCTGAAAGACAAGAGGGTAACACTAGAAGTTTAAATAGAATTAGAGGAGAGACGGTGGAGGGACGGGAGCTAACTGAAAGAAGAGAAGGTAACAGTAGAAGTTTGTATAGAATTAGAGGAGAGACATTGGAGAGACAGGAGCTATCTGAAAGAAGAGAAGGTAACAGTAGAAGTTTATATAGAACTAGAGGAGAGACAGTAAAGAAGAGAGGGTAACAGTAGAAGTTTATATAGAATTACAGGAGAGACGGTGGAGGGACGGGAGCTATCTGAAAGAAGAGAAGGTAACAGTAGAAGTTTATATAGAATTAGAGGAGAGACAGTGGAGAGACAGGAGCTATCTGAAAGAAGAGAGGGTAACAGTAGAAGTTTATACAGAATTAGAGGAGAGACGGTGGAGGGACGGGAGCTAACTGAAAGAAGAGAGGGTAACAGTAGAAGTTTATATAGAATTAGAGGAGAGACAGTGGAGAGACAGGAGCTATCTGAAAGAAGAGAAGGTAACAGTAGAAGTTTATATAGAATTAGAGGAGAGACATTGGAGAGACAGGAGCTATCTGAAAGAAGAGAGGGTAACAGTAGAAGTTTGTATAGAATTAGAGGAGAGACATTGGAGAGACAGGAGCTATCTGAAAGAAGAGAAGGTAACAGTAGAAGTTTAAATAGAATTAGAGGAGAGACAGTGGAGAGACAGGAGCTATCTGAAAGAAGAGAAGGTAACAGTAGAAGTTTATATAGAATTAGAGGAGAGACATTGGAGAGACAGGAGCTATCTGAAGAGAAGAGAGGGTAACAGTAGAAGTTTATATAGAATTAGAGGAGAGACATTGGAGAGACAGGAGCTATCTGAAAGAAGAGAAGGTAACAGTAGAAGTTTATATAGAATTAGAGGAGAGACGGTGGAGAGACAGGAGCTATCTGAAAGAAGAGAGGGTAACAGTAGAAGTTTATACAGAATTAGAGGAGAGACAGTGGAGAGACAGGAGCTATCTGAAAGAAGAGAGGGTAACACTAGAAGTTTATATAGAATTAGAGGAGAGACATTGGAGAGACAGGAGCTATCTGAAAGAAGAGAGGGTAACAGTAGAAGTTTATATAGAATTAGAGGAGAGACAGTGGAGAGACAGGAGCTATCTGAAAGAAGAGAAGGTAACAGTAGAAGTTTATATAGAATTAGAGGAGAGACAGTAGAGAGACAGGAGCTATCTGAAAGAAGAGAGGGTAACAGTAGAAGTTTATACAGAATTAGAGGAGAGACGGTGGAGGGACGGGAGCTAACTGAAAGAAGAGAGGGTAACAGTAGAAGTTTGTATAGAATTAGAGGAGAGACAGTGGAGAGACAGGAGCTATCTGAAAGAAGAGAAGGTAACAGTAGAAGTTTATATAGAATTAGAGGAGAGACGGTGGAGAGACAGGAGCTATCTGAAAGAAGAGAGGGTAACAGTAGACGTTTATACAGAATTAGAGGAGAGACATTGGAGAGACAGGAGCTATCTGAAAGAAGAGAAGGTAACAGTAGAAGTTTATATAGAATTAGAGGAGAGACAGTGGAGAGACAGGAGCTATCTGAAAGAAGAGAAGGTAACAGTAGAAGTTTATATAGAATTAGAGGAGAGACATTGGAGAGACAGGAGCTATCTGAAAGAAGAGAGGGTAACAGTAGAAGTTTATATAGAATTAGAGGAGAGACATTGGAGAGACAGGAGCTATCTGAAAGAAGAGAAGGTAACAGTAGAAGTTTATATAGAATTAGAGGAGAGACGGTGGAGAGACAGGAGCTATCTGAAAGAAGAGAGGGTAACAGTAGAAGTTTATATAGAATTAGAGGCAAGAGTTAAAAACAGTACAGTGTATCTATAAGAAAAAAATGAAAGTTTCACTGATTTTTTGACACTTGACTCATGATTTTGATATGAGACTTTTGAAAACCCATTATATCTTTCTGTAAATGGGCTCATCAAAGTTTTGGAAAAGGTTCTCTGGACTCAAAAAAAAATCCTACTAAATTACAGAATTTAATTTGAAGGTATTTCCTGACATCAACTAGTCTGATGTGAACTAAATTTTACTTTAAAAATAAATTTCAATCATTCAACAGAATCTGACTTTGACAAAAATATCTATGTTAATAAATCTCAAAAACTTACCTGTTCATTGACCTTGTTGTACTTCCCAAATATGAAGTACCCTGCCCCAAATGCTGCTAAAAACGAGTGGAACTGTTCAGGTTTACTCTGAGCCACAGCCATTAGGTTTGTCAGAGCCTTGTATGCGAACACAAAAAGTGCCAGGTTACGAGAGTGGGTGTAGGTCGCCTCCAATATCCCCTTAGACATGTCCTTTATACTGGCAATATAACAACAAATATGTTGATCAGTAATAAACATTAAAAATAGAAGTTTGAAGAATAGATAAGCAATTTACAGTAATTACTACAATCCACTTTTAGTAAAAGGTAATGTTAACTTAAAACAGTAAATCATTTTGAGGACAAATGAATTAGATTTTGCAATAATTTTTAAATGTATACCAACCTGCCTCGTTTGAACAGCAGTGTCATCACCAATGAATGAGGAAATCGGACTTTTGCTCCATACCTATGTAACACAAAATCCATGCTATAACTCACGTATCTGTTACACTAAAGATACAGTTCAAATATTGTCATTAAATCACAGAATTCACAATATTCATTTGGAATACACTGGTAATACATACAAAACCTACCAGATCTCATACAGTTTTAACAGAAATTCCAACGCTATATTAATGTTCTCCAGGAAACACACCTCTCTCATTTGAGCCCGATATCTGTTGGAAGACCTAAAATGCTGTCTCTAATTTAATTTTAGAAATGAACATAATCAATACCATAACAAGAGGTCCAATGGGCCTGTAGCACTCACCTGGTATATATAGACCAGCAAATAGGATGCCACTTGGCCTTTTAGTTTAGATGAAGAAGTTGTTAAAGGTTTTAGCAAAACCTTGAATATAAATAAAGGTAATTTCTTTTCACAAACTTTTCTAGCTTCCTACTAGGAACATACCAACCAAACATCATGTCTCTAGGCCTTTTAGTTCATGAGAATAAATCATTAAAGGTTTTAACATATCTGACCCCTATGACCTTGATTATGTCAAGGTCATTTCTTTTCACAAACTTTGTCGGGCTTCATCATAGGAATAAACCAGCCAAACATCATGTCTCTAGACCTTTTAGTTCATGGAAGAAGTCATTTAAAGGCTTTTAACAAATTTAACCCCTGCAACCTTGAATATAGGTCAAGGTAATTTCTCTTTGCAACATACTATCCAAATATCAAAACATATGGTCCAATGGTTATTGAGAAGAAGTTATTTTTAAAGGAAAAAATTTGATGACAGACGATGGACTTGCACCACAGGATAAGCTCACTTGGCTCTTTGAATATTGACATTAAAATTAAGATTTTAAAGACAGAAATTTTTGGTCTAAGTTATTGGGTTCCTGGGTTTATTGCAAGATGAATACATCAAAAATTATGAACATATTTTTAAGAATGCAGTAATGTGACAATATCTATCTTGACAAACAACAAAATAGATTTCAGATGTAGCTATACAATATTATTGTCACCAGCATTGTAAAGAATTTTTCATGGTATGAAGCTCAGGCTCACAACAAACAGTTTCACCACAACATGGCAGAACTTCAGATAAGAAAATAGTGACAGGTTGTGCAGTGTCAGCTATCCTGTTCGTGATGGGCATGAACATTATCATGAAAGCTGCTAAGACAGCAACTCGAAGGCTGAAAATAAACTTGGAAATCTATCAAACATCGACTAGAGGGTTCATGAATGACCTGACTATTACAACAACAACCAACATTCAAGCTACTCAGTAAGTTGATACTGTTTGCATTGTGTGATGTTGTAACCTGGGCTCTGATGCAGTTTAAGCCAAAGAAAGTACAGTACATAATCATCAATAAGAGGCAGTTGACAAAACAGTTCTTCCTTGGAGTCTACAGGAAGGAAATACCATCTGTCATCAACAACCATAGAAATGCTCAGGGAGATGGTATGACCATACATTGTTCAACTAGAAGAACTTAGGTAAGGTTGTTGATTAAGTAAAAGAAAGGCTGAATATGATCAACAAATCAGGACTGCTGAGGGCACACTGTAGATGCAGGACATCGTAGGAAGCATCTGTGTTGGTAGACAAAGACTGAGAGTTCCTCATTCTCAACAGTGGAGCAAAGCAGAAGGCAAAAAACGAAGGAAAGGAATTGTAGCAGTGGTGAGATCCGAGGGGGAACAACGGCACAAAAGTGGAGCAGTTGAGATAGGACTTGTTTTATGGAATCTGAGTTTGGGTAATGATTATATTAACATTTTGTAGAGTAGCCCTCCAGCAGGGAAGCTGCAGATGGTCAGGTTCTGACTGCCTTAGCTGACATTCCGGAGAAAGAGCAGCTGCAGAGGAAGCCAGTGTAATACTTTAAACACACTACATTAAGTATGTCAGAGTAGTGTAGAGATACCTAACTGCCACTCTATGTTACAAGAACTTAAGCAGCCAAGCACCATACTGGGAAATGAGAGCAGACCTCAACAACATCTTGATTTTTCTGATGTTGTACATACCACACAGAGACATGATATCTTCATGTGGTCAAAGCAGGGTTATACGTCCACTTTTTATGCAAGTGAGATAAGCCAAATTGCAGACATGATAACAGCCAGCAGTGATTGGTCACCACTGCTGTCCCACCAACCTGAGGATGTTGTGGAATGGAGGTCAAAACAGCTGATAATGGTTGGAATCCACATGACGATGCTGTCAATAGAACTCTCAAGAGTTCCATGTTGGCAATACCTAACCAACAGTGGATGAGTTTTGTTACCAACAGCAGAGAAATATGTATCTTCACAAAACATGATGAACCAAACCGGATATTAGTCAGTATAGAACAAATTAAGTCAGATCACATGATATTTTAATAGTTTCATGTTAACACAAATTAAAATCATGGATATATAGTTAGAACACTTCGTACTAGGCCCAATCTAACCCATCCCTTTTCCAACCAGACTAGCTAGACACGTGCGCTGACAGGTTAGGTAATGCACTATCAGGTCCTGGACCCATCTTTAAAACTTCTCAACATTTCGGACATCTGACAGACAGCTCAACTCAATGAGGGGGATGCAGGTCATTCACAAACGGGGCCAGAACACTGACGTTCGTTGATAAACAACATCTAGTAACAGGACTAGTCAAGGAGACGATAAATACGTATCCAACCAACCAACCATGAGTCCCTGACCTATTCATCGTTACTGAAATGTAGGTTCAATATCCAGTCGCAATAGAAAGTAAAGCCGAGATACCAAAGTATGAGCAATCTTATATAAACAAAATCTTAATAAAACTAACACGGCTCCATTTCGAAATCCCTTGATCACTGACAGCAACGGCTGGTAATTGCCGGACGCAAGCAGACGATTTACACTTTCAACCAACGCCATCGCCATGAATTTTGACTTCCGGTCCAAGAAGGGGGCTGTTTCGTTTCTAAGATATTGCGCAGTGGTATTTATGAACAGAAAAGAGACAATACATTAAATTTATTTCATATTTTGTAAGTTTTTCCACTTATATTTATTTATGTATAGAAGTGATGATATAAATTTGTATATTGTCGATCTTTTATCAATAGATTCTCCCTCCGCGGAACTCTTCAATTCAAGATGTCTGCGCCTATGTGGTAGTCCGTGAACGCATTGACTTCATATTTTAGTACACTATGGAAGAAGAAGACGGCTTTATTTTACGTGCAAAGAGAATGAAGCATCTTAACCGACTTTCTGCGGCTGTTGTGGATATCAACAGACCGTTGTCAAATTATTTTACGTAAGTGCTGTTTACTGCCGATCCTCAAATAAGGCTAAGGGAACACTATTGTATAATTTCATATTGTCCATGTGCTTACAACATAGTTTTTTTTTATATATATCGGAGAGATAACCGTGATGTCATTTCTTTGAAATCAAAATCGACCTCGTTTCTGACTGACGAGACAGCATCGCATCATTCACGGCTGGTCTATACTCTGAACACTAAGCAACTTCCACACTTCTCCGTACGGGGGAAAAAGTCACACATGTGCTATATGGGATTGTGTGGCACTACACTACATTTAATTAATTTAGCACAGTCATGCCATGAGACTTAGAATACCTCCCCCACCCCGCTGCCATCCCCACACCGTAATCACTCCAATCCTTGAGATTCACCTTATGAAGAAGCAGGTACTGGAGCGCCGGTAAATCTGGCTATGTAGACTAATGATTTCCATAAATTACCTGATTCGTCATCCATTTTCCCGTCTGCATGAAAGAAATGTGACAGGATCTCCTCAGAATGTTTTAATTTGCCCAATGTATGCATTTGTCAGATTTGACCATATTTGCCTTTACAGCCAGATTTGCTGATGGTCCAGTACCTGATGAGTGATGGGAGGAGGGGCACTAAGAAAAAATCTTTCCTCCATCATTAATGTGTACAATGGGAAATTAGCTATATTAAAAACTGTAGGCATTGGTGGGGAGATGTAGTTAAGGGAGGAATGTATTTATGTATAGTTGAAGGGTTCTGACTAACAAATTACACCATTATCCCTCCTCATATCATCACCTCTCTGATGTCCCATGACAAGACTGACATCTTATTCTATGACCTACAACATGGTTTTAGAAGGGAAAATCATGCAAAATTCACCGAGTTTGAGGACACCTCACCTATAACTTTCAGGAAGGCCATCAAACTGACCAAAGACTTTGTAAAGTCCTAGAAAAGGAAAAACATAATTGGCTTGTCTACAAACTCTATGAATATAGCATCAGAAGGCAGGTCAACAGCTGGATTCAGAACTGGCAAGCAGGTAGAACCCAATTCATTGTGTTAGAAGGGTAATAATCAGCATCAGTGAGTGCTGACTCTGGAGTCCCACTTGGATCGGTCCTTCAACGACTTGCAGGGTACTCTCATGGTTTGTGAGGTTTCATCCAGAAAAGTTTAAAGTATTGAGGGTTGCCAACAACAGTAATCTCATCGAGATTCAGTCAGCTGTCTGCCTTAGTATCACCATATTGAACAACATCATTTGGGATGTCCACATCCAACAGATTGCTGGCAAGACCAACATGACCCGTGCTTCTTGCGAAAGAACCTGCAGAACTCTTCTGTGAGGATCAATTCCATGGCATGCTTTGGAGTAAGCCAGTACAGTCTTGGACACCTATATCCAAAACATCAGTTAAATTGAGCAGATGTTACCTGTAGTCATAGAAACTCCTCCAGCAAAAGACACCAAACAGGTCCAACAGGCCATGTTGTGCAATATTGATAGAAGACGTAGTGGGGTTAGGAATGACTAGACGTTGCTACCACTGTGAATTTGCCTTTGTCAAGTAGTGATGTTTTGCATTTTTTTCCCTGTATCGTCGGAAATCCATGATATTCTACTCATTCAAGTCAAACGACAATGGTTTTTCCCTGCTATAAGGAAGTGAAATCTGCTTACTTTGATACACTATTCGTAATCAAGTGTATATAAATCATAATAATTCATTATAAAAATCAAGTTAGCCAATTAAATGGTTACATAAATTTCATAGGGGACTACCCAATAGTCAAAATTATTAATTAATGAAAATATGTTTTTGACTCTCAGAAATGAGTTTTACTCAAGGGTTTGATGGGAAATATCCCTATGACATTTGTGAGCTTACTTCTTACTTCAGAAATTGACAAATGTCAACAAGGTGATAGTACTGGGAAATTATCATACTTTATGTTTACAGTTAGAGTTAGTGCTGTCTTGATAGATGTTTATTGAAAATAAGATCATAATGAATTATTGTGGAACAATCAACGTACCAACATAGGATGTATTTAAACTTGTTGATGTGAAGCCAGAGATATCACTTTTCTCTTTTATCAGGGGGTAGTCTCATGATTGGGTCAAATTCCTCAAATATGTGAACATTTTAACAAAAAACTTACCATTTGTGTAGTTTCCTTATGCCATCCATGTTTGTGGTCATGATTTCTGGAAATTTGTTTTACTTTGTTTTCAATAACAGTTTAATTATATAATGTGTGTTTTATAGATTTGGTACAACTTCCATCAACGGGAACATGAAAAAAACAGGTAAGGAATGATAAATCAATTTTATTGTCCTCTTATTTAAAATTTGTAAAAAATTAATATGACTTTTTAAGAACTACATAATGATCACTCAAAGATGGATGTGATATAATGCTCAGGACCTCATGATTCTGTCATCTTTGAAGGACAATGCATAAAGCTTGTAAATAAATGACAGTATTGTGGGTAGTACATTCATAATGTGATATATCAAAACTAAAACAGATGAGGTACTTTAATGCTTACTGTCACAGCTACACTTGGAAGGATAAAGGTTAACATTCCAATTCTAATGTTGCAGAAAAAATTAAAGAGTGTCCATATTGTGGCCACACTTACCAGCAGCCAGAGGATAGGTCAAGGCTTCAAGCTAAGATACCATTAACTGGAAAAGTCCGCCAGCTTCTCAGGAAATACGTACAAAACAAACGTTCACTAGGGAAATATCAGCTGCACATGGTTGATAGATACCTCACTAGCACAAATTCAGTGGTAAGTATCAAATCTTAAGGAAATTCTGGGTTATTATTATAACATTATCACAAGGCCTACTTTACTACAGTAGTACTCCCATAATAAACCCACTTCTCATGTTAGATAATTTTTTTATAAGATTGCTGTTGGTATTTTGAATATTTTCTGATCCTCTTAAAGTTATTTACTTAAGATGGGCATTTATCAATAAATTAGTATAAAATTATGGAGAAATAATCTTTTTAACATTAGTAGCATCCCTTAATCTAACTACTTATCCTTTGTGTCTTTGCATGTCATCATGTCAGGCATGTCTAATGTGAAATGGAAGTGTTTCCAGGTTTTATCAAAAATGTTCTATAACAACATAACACAACTACAAGTAAGGAGTCAGAAGATGGTTTTCATCATTCTGTATTTTTTTTATTTCATTACATTGAATTGTTAAATGATAAGAATGCTCACAGTCACTATTTTTTTGAAACTTAAAAATGATCTCACACTAGCAGTGAGATATTTTCAAAAAAGCATCAGGAAACAACTGACTTGTTAACTAATTGTCTTTGTCTACTGTACGCCCTTCTTTACTATGGATTTATTTGGCTATGAAACCTGCATAATTTTGGTTTGGGATACTTTTCTATTTCAAACAAGATTCGTGCAAGTAAGAAAATTTGTAGATACAGGTTACAAAGCAAGGAAGTTATGATCATGACAATCTTTGCTTAAAGACATGAACAAAAGCCAATAACTAGATTAGGTATTATCAAATATATTATATTAAATTACTCTATATTTTGCTTAACAAGATGGAAATGTGACAGGCTTATGTCATATTGATATTTTGCAGGTTTTATGACACAAGACTTGAATTGTAACAAATAGCATTTCTAACAACTGATGCATCTGTGATGAATATAAATAGCAAACATTATTTCAGAAAATAACCTGCAGTGTTTGTGGAAAGAGTGAAAAAATGCCTGGTCAACTTCGTGAGAAGAGAGAGGCACAGAAAAAGGCACAAGCAGTTCTTCCTGTGGGTATGTTATACATACAGATCACCCGCAACAAACCCCGGGTCCGAACACATCCATCTAGACATTAGCTTATAGTGCAAGAACCAAGCCTATAGTTTTTTCTTATTTACTGAACTGTAAATTACTTTCGCAGACTTATAACAAGTCATTATTGTCAGATAAAGCCACTAAAACAGTTTGCGCTTGAAAAGTGCCCATTGATTTGCTAAGCCTATAGTTTTTTCTTATTTACTGAACTGTAAATTACTTTCGCAGACTTATAACAAGTCATTATTGTCAGATAAAGCCACTAAAACAGTTTGCGCTTGAAAAGTGCCCATTGATTTGTTCTGTTGCTCATGTAAAGTTGTGCATTGGAATATTTATTAGCTCACCTGGTACGAAGGATTGGTGAGCTTACGTTATATGGTGGCATTTGTTGTCCATCCATCCGTTAACTTTTTATACTAATTGCTATTAGTCATGAGCAACAAAGCAAATTTTTAACAAACTTGAACAGACGCATCCTTAGGGAAACGTGGGCAAATTTTGTATAAATGGTGGCCATGACCCCCTTAGGGCTTAGGGGTTGGGTCAAAGAGGGGAAATAGAGCAAATTTTATGAAATCCTACCCTTCCTGTTCAGATAATTAGATTTTTGCCAAGTTTTGGTCTGAAGCATTCTTGGGCGAAGGGGAATAAGTTTTGCCTAAATGTTTTTGCATCCTTGGGTCAATTGAAATTAGTTTGGTATAAATGGTGGGTCAAGGGCCCTAGGATGGGAGGGGCAGGACCCATTCAAGGGGAAATAGAGCCAAATTCTTTATATTTCTTTTGTTGACTTTGCAGGATTCTGTCTTAATTCGGTATGAAGCATGAATTTCTTGGCTGAACCCTTAAGGACTGAGGGGCCCAGTAGAGAAATACATATAGTGTGTGTTTTGTTGGGAAATTAGGAACTTGTTTTATTTAGTTCACATGTTATATGGGCCTCTTGTTCAATACTTTCACTGCCAACTTTTCTTTTGAAGCAGAAATAAGTGATGTAACAATGAAAACGAGGAAAGAAAAACGAAAGGAACTGAAACTAAAGAATAAACAGAGAAAACGTGACAAGCTGAAGGAAAGCAACTTGAATGCCATTCCTTCATCATGTTTAAGTCTTGAGTAAGTGTTTCTTTAATTTGTTGCATGGTACAATATAAAGGATACAGTTAGTTTTTATGCTCCTTGAAAATTTTCAGGGGAGCATACATATACTTGCAGCTTTGTCTGTCTGTTTGCCTGTCCTTTCGTGTCAAGAGCCCACAGCTGAGCAAGGATCATGAAACTTAGTGTATACATTGGTTATACTAAAGGGATGTGCAGTGTACTACATTCATGACCCTTGACCCCTCAATTACAAAGTTACTGCCATTGTTGAAATTTTGTGTCTGGAGCATAACTTTGCTTGCATGGAATCTAGGATAATGAAACTAAGTGTATACATTGATCACATTAAGGCAAAATGCAGTGTATCAAATTCAGGGCCTGCAAGCCCTTAATTGCATAGTTACTTCCCTTTGTTAAAATTTTGTGTGTAAATTTTAAATTGCTTGCATTTAAAGTAGGATAATGAAATGTGATAGATCCATTGATCCTACTGAGACAATGTGTTGTGTTCTAAAGACAGAGCCCTCAATCCCTCAGTTACAGAGTTATTGCCCTTTGTAAAAAAAATTCTTGTCCTTAGCATAACTTTGCCCACAGTTAAGCAAGGATCATGAAACTAGTGTATCATACTTATTAGGACTGATAGCTTGCTGTGTACTAAATTCAGGGTCCTCGGTTCCTCAATTACAGAGTTACTACCATTTGTTAAAGATATCTTGTTCAGATCATAACTTTGCTTGCATTTAAAGTAGGATATTGAAACATGATGTATACATCAGTGATACAGGAGCTAGGTGCAGTGTGACAAAGTCTGGAACTATGACTTTACAGTATAGAGATATTTCCATTTGTTAAAATTCTGTGTCATGTACATAGCTTTACTTGCATCAAAGCTAGGATCATGAAACTCAGGGCCTGCAAACCGTTATTTACAGAATTATGGCTCTTTTTGTGTCCAATTAAATTGTTTTCCAGGGGTTAATCAGTTTCACTAAAACTCATGTTGGTACTTGCTGTTGTAGCACTCTTATAGCTTTTTAGTTTGTTTATTACTTGATAAATGCATTTTATTTTTGTATTGAGCACACATTTATTTAAAATCAAAATATTTTGATTTGTGAAAACACAATTAGATTACATGTTCTTCTAGTCATTTGATACAAATCTGAAAATGGAGAAAGGTTCAAATCCAAGTTACCAGAATGGATTGTGACTTTTGTGAAAAGACATTTCCAATATACACTTTGATTACCTTTAATTCATTCAAGTGTATATCAATATTTTGTTTCCATCATACAATAAAAATAGTATCAAGGACTTTTTTAAGCACAGTGATTAATAAACTTCATGTCTTTGTGATTTCAGTTCCTCTACAAATACAGATATTGGATTTGGTAGCATGCCTTCATCTACAGCGGAACTGACGGGCAATATACACAGTAATAGTCTAACCACTGCAACAAGTCAGAGAATCTCCAAAGACACAGTGACCCGAAAAAGTGTCCAAAATCTTGACAAAGACATAGTGACCCCTAAAAGTGAACAAAGTCATAACAAGGACACAATGACCCCTAAAAGTGGTACAAGTAATAACAAGGACACAATGACCCCTAAAAGTGGTACAAGTAATAACAAGGACACAATGACCTCCAGGATTATTCAAAGTTATATCAAGGATAAAGAAACAAAGCCAGTGGTTGTCAATGTTAAAAGTGCCAAACGTCTAAAGTCCAAAAGCTCGCACCAGCAGCTCAGTCAGATGTTGGCTCAACAAAGTAAGGGAAGTCCAGGAGGTTCACTGAAAGACTTTTTATCATCATTATAAAACTGTTATCTTGGCCATGTTGTATTGTGAACCTGGCATTACTAATAAATATTCAAAAAGGCAAACAAAAGTAACATCGGAAAACAGCAACAACATACCATTTGTTATAACACACAATCCTTGCCACATCAACATACCATTTGTTATAACACACAATCCTTGCCCCAACAACATACCATTTGTTATAACACACAATCTTTGCCACATCAACATACCATTTGTTATAACACACAATCCTTGCCCCAACAACATACCATTTGTTATAACACACAATCCTTGCCACAACAACATAATCCATGCAGCAAAGGACGCTATCCCCTTGTTACATAAAAGTGAAATTATGCGGAATTTGGTACAAGCATCAGAAATTCTACAAAGTAAATGGCAACCTGTAAATCTCAAAAGAATTTTAACTAGGGTCAAATTCGATGATTCTGAAACACATAGTTTTTCTGTAACCAAATGTGGCGACTCTAGATGTGGAACATGCGAGTACATACATGTCGGCAATCATCGGACTCTAAAGAATGGAAAAACAATAAAACCAAACAATAGCTTGAACTGCAAAAGTAAGAATTTAATATATGTGATAGTCTGTCCAACAGGAACACTACATCAGGCAAACAGGAAATGCACTTAGTGAGAGAGTTTGTTGTCCACAAGCAGCAAATACACACACCTGAGACACGTAAAATACTACTCTGTGAACACCTGGATATGTGGAAAAGGAACTTCTTTAATTTTTCCTTTTTACAAAGTGGCCGATTTGGGTGCGACAAAAAGACTGTAAAGAGGAAATGTTTATCAAAATATTTAAACCGGTTCTCAATGCTAGTCAATGGTTTGAGAAAATCGTTTACACATATTTAATTAATAACAAACGCACATAAATGTAATCTCAATATACTGCGAATGATAATGTTATCTCCCCTTCTCTTATGTATGACGTCATAATGTCGTTACCAAGATGTTAAAATAAATGTATTGCCTGAAGATGGCCGTTAGGCCTGAAAACAGCGGAATACATTTGCTGTTCTGATTTTATTCAGATATAATTATATATATATAGCAATGTTAGAGATTAAGATATAAACAATGATGATGTAGGAATTAGCCCTGGGGCTTGGCCTAACCTCTCGGTATATAGGTCCTGGATTATTCCTTTGATACAGTGGTCATCCCAACCCCATAACCATAGATAACAATGCTGGGCATCAAGAGAAAAACACATTCATGATGTGAGAAGTGGCTTTTTGTTTTCACATCAAATTTCTGGGTTATATATTTTCAACAATGGAAATCTCAAAGTGATGACCATATAAACTCATACTGAGCATCTAAAGAGAAAGACAGTCATGTTATAAGAATTTACCCATTGGTTTTGTGCTACCAATGAGTTTAAGTGACTGAGCTGAAGTTTGGAAATATTTGAAATGCTTAACCTATATACCACTGCTGGGCCTCAAGATTCAGGTGGACGATACTCTTGTTCTCATCACCCCTTTTCCTTTACAGAAGGGATCATCCTGAAACTTTTACTTAATGAGGATTTAAACAAGGTTCTATTCCAGATAGCTGCTGGAAAATATTTTGTTTGGATAAGCCAACCTTTATGTCGGTCACAAATTTTGTCGAATTTTTTTTATGGGACAAGCTATGGTATAGCATTTTCTGTTCATCACTTGTAAAATTTTATATATCCCGAGATCTTCTCCAAGTTTTCAATAGATCTTTTCCAAACTTAGTAGACTTAATCATCATGTAGTTTTAATGTATGTGGAAGAGTTAATTCTCTTTGTTACATAATTATATCAGGAATTTGCGGGTTCTTTTAAAGAGTTTTTATTATTTTTTTTCTCAGCATTTTTGAGTTTTAATTTAAACTGTATAACCCTTACCAGTAACTTAATGGCATTGATTCTAAATATTGCAATTTTGAGAAAAGTTATCACTTTTGTTTTTGCATTTTATTTCCTGAAGAATCATAAATATCGGGACATGAAATCGAGTTCTCATTAATTGCATTATGATCTGGGAAAGATACTGCCCTCACCTCCCTCCTCCTCAGAATTTCTTCTTGTACAGATATTTCTTCATTAGATTTCAACCAATCTTTTTATTTCATTATAAATGATTTTTACACGATTGACTCCCACTGCTGAAAAAGCAAAGGTCAATACAATGGTTGGCATGATCCCTTTAAGATCTCATTTGAATAAACTTTGCCGAACATCGTAATCCTGGGCTTTTACATGTTGATTACTGAGAAGCATTTGTCCTCTGTATCCTTGGAAGTAAATTGTGTCATTTATTCATTCACCTAACAAATGATGCCCCTTCATCCCAGAATGCTATCCTTGCATTGGTTCTCCTGCTTGCCGAGAACATGCTTTGAGATCTCAACACATTGGACATTGAAAGTGGTTCTTCGTCATTCATTTGAACAAACTTGCATTTGTTGTACTTTATCTTAGTATGCTACTGGCCTCAAGTTATTGCCCTAGACATTTAGATTGTTGAGAATTTGATGCCAGACATGCCATGCTATTCCATAACCTCACATGCAGGCAAGCTAAAAACTAAAACAACTTTCACTAAACACTTCAAATTTACAGCTGTCTCTCATTATTCATGAAATCTCCTTCTGTGGATGTATTTGCACAAGTAAAATGTGATGAAGTGCCAGCTTAACTTCTTTAATGCTGTTTTTCTTGGAGAAACTTCAAAGTTGACTATGTATCAATCATATGTTCAATTATGGAAAGCCCAGAATCAACAAAAGCAATTGTTTAATGAGTTTATTTACACAAATGAGTAACATTATTACATCACAGCGCATCATATGCAATGGATCCCTAAATATCTTACTGTTCTCTTTCAGCACACACATTTAGTAATCAAAAATAGGATGGCAGGGTGAACCTCTCGAAATGGGATGAAAATGAGTATGTACATGATATATCTAGCATTTGGACACCAGACATCAAATTAAAATGCATCTCCTCCCAATTGTCAACACTAAATGAACAAACATTAGATTCATTAAGACAATGTTATATTTACTTGGTACAATAAAAACATGGATCTAAAACTTGTGGAAAACAAAACTGATGATATTTATATGATGTAATGATTGGAACAGTATGAAAATAACTTGCAATAATTATAATGAGGACAGCAAAATAAAACCTAAACTGCCTGATGAATATAACATGTTATGTCCCTCCGAATACTGACGGATAACAGTGTCAATGTCCTAGTTCAGTGTGAGCTAGTAGCTACACAAATTCTGTTCAGGCTTTTCACAATCAATCATGGGAACGACTCCTTGACCTGTGGGGAGTCCGTGATCTTCTGGCTGGGCTCCTTGTTCTGTAATTTACAAGTGCAATCATTATTAAAAACAAGAATTAGGCAAGAAAAACAAAGAAACACTTAATTAGCAGAAAAGACACAAACCCTTTGGTCATTACCTTTACTGCAAATTTGCTATTATTTGCTCTGTTCATGGGAAAATTTCCTGCTAACATACACAATTCCCTGTTTAAGTCTGACACCAATAATAGTGTTTTCATTATTTTAGGTATTTTGAAGCAGCCTTCCCAAAAAAATAGGGATGAAAATGGTAAACTAAAACGAACAGTAAAAATGAATGCAGGGTTTTCCATAATTTTGTTAGTAGTAGGCTGTGTAGTGAAAGTAGGAGGCTGGCCTGCCGTGTACGTGTAGTCGTGTACGGAACATTATAACGGAACTGGATTGGTGTAGGCGGTCAAATGATCAAAGTAGCCGGTCAAATTGGCCGGCGACCAAATCCTATGGAAAACCCTGGAATGTGTTACTGATCTGTATCTAGATAGCACAAACTTTTGATATCTAGTTAAGTATGGACAAGCTGAACAGCACTATCAAAGTCAAGGTTCATTATCAATTAATTGGAACTTGCAAATCTTGAAAGTAAAGCTCATTACATTGCACTAGATACGTTGTTCAATCACTTTAAGGACAACAACGCAGAACAGAATAATGACATGACAGAATATACCTGCTCCTGGTCATGCTGCGCTTCTTGTACTTGGGCGACCGGCTACGTGATGGACTCCTCGAATAACTCCTGCTCCGCCTACCACGGGGACTCCTTGATCTTGACCTTGACCTTGACCTATATATAAATAAATAAAAGCTTTATCAAAATTGTTAGACAGAAAAGAACTTGGTAAACACCTGAAATCAGTCCTGATGATGCTTCATCATAACAAAGCCTCAAAAATTCTTCCCAAGAAAATGATCTCCAGGGTCAGTCACAGGAAAGCAAGATACATTTGAAAAAAATTTCTAGGTACAAATGCAAGTACTAAAACATATTGAAAGGATTTCATTTGTTCTATATATAGAAATTTGGTCTATAATGGAATGTAAAAGGAAAAAGATTATCAAGGAAAAATGTAAAAAAAATATCCATACTACTTGCATAAAGTTCTCCAAAAATTACATAACAGGGTATGTTTTCCCCAGAGAGGTACTGTCACTTTTCTTAAAAACAAAGTATAATGTCATACCTACCAAAATACACAATCAATTTCAAAAAGTAATAAACACTGTTCTGTCATTAATTACTATTTTAGGTTTTAAGTGGAGAGGACATTATTATTAAAATATTAAGTCTCCTTTATTTGCAAAACTTTCATCTCCTGACAGATGTTTGGTAAAAATTTGAAGTATTTGTTTCATTAGAGCAAGGTAAAATAGTTAAGGCCAGTAAAATAACCCGAAGAAAAAAACTCCTGATGATCAAAATATTTTAACATTTGTATTCCACTGCCACACTTTGTTTTATTACTGAAATTATTTTCAAGTGCAAAAATTCCTACATTTCCATGTTAAGTCTGAGATAGCGGGAGATATTGATTATTGGAAGAAGATGATGGGAGATCTAGGAAAGATGATCAGAAAATGCTAGTACTTGGATAATACACAGAGAGAAGCGACACCACTCCGAATTGTGGTATAATCACCAAACAAGCGGAAGACCTGAGAAACGGCCGACAATCTCACGCTGGGACGAAAGATTTCATTGTGTGAGGTGCTCTCGATCTCTGGGATGAAAGATTTCATAGTGTGATGAACTCCCGATCTCTGGGATGAAACATTTGTTTGATGAACTCTAGATCTCAATCTCTGGGACGAAATATTTCATTTTGTGACCCAATCTCAATCTCGCTGTTAAGCTGGGAAGGAGGATCTAATCAATTTGGATGTGTTGGTTGAGAATTCTAATTTCAAAGTGACGCAGTGTTGGCCGACTCTCTTTCTCACAGTGGAAGGGAGAATATCGATCGAAATCATGACGCAATATCTGATGACGGAAATCATGTTGAAATATCGGCCGAGTCAGATGGTTGGTGGTCATCAACATGAATGTGTTTGGCTAGTAGATCTATCTGAGTTAGGGGGGCAGCACTGAGGTGATGCAATCTATGTTGTACCCAGTTGTAATCTAGCTGCATGTGTTGATCATAGAAGTGGATATATTCTGCAAAGCAGGTACAGGGATCAAATCAGTTTTGTTTGAAATCAACTCATGCACAACACACGCATGAACAAATTCATAATATAATACTTATTTGAAAAAAGAAATCACCTCTTTATTTTTTAAATGCAAAAAATTTTAAAGAAACTTCAATATTTGCAAAAAATATTATGAAATTTTACTGTTACAGTACACTTTGAACTGATCAATATTAAAAATAATGTTCAATAAGTACAGTAACCTGAGCTCAGAGTTCCCGAAAAATATAGCTGTAATCATGGAAATCATTTAAAAACATGAAAAGCGAGAGAAAGGCTTAAACGTAACAACTTTGATTAAGCTCACTGCTGACGAGTATGGCAAAATGTGGATCAAGTATACAGGCAGACACAACAAACTAACAGAGAACCGGTCAGGCTCTGACAAGGATTGTTTTAGTCTTCTTTAACTCTTCTATAATACTAGTATTACATGGTGGCTAATTTCATTTCTTAAAACAAAAGATATCAAATGAAATCAAAACAATTCAAAAGGAAAGGCAATATGAGAAATCTTCAAGTTTTCTATCACTTCAAGTCAATATATATGGTCATAATGACAAAATAAAAATATCAAAAGGAGCATTTTGAAACTGTTTAAATCTTTGGATCGTATACACCATGAAATCAAATAAAATTCGTAGTGATAAATATCGAAGGATCAAAATAACATGATATAACATTAAATAAAGCGTTGAATGAAACAGACTTGAAACAAAATATGATGAACTTCTTTATATCAATGATGAGATAATACAAGAGACAGCCAGGACATTGTTTAAATTATCAATAGACCTACCGAGATCGTCTGGAGGACCTTCTAGAAGAACTGGGACGTCTGCTGCCGTTAACTCGGGGACAATCATATGCATAATGGCCCCGGTCTCCACATTCATAGCATTTGTCATCGGGATGGAATGGACGACGACTACGTGGTGGGCCTCGGGATGCTCTTAGCCAAGGTTTTGGACGTACCTTCCCAGTTGAATGTTCTACTCGTACACGGCTTCCGCAGATAGTTCTACACAAAAAGGCAAACAAAATTCATTAAAGCAAGGACCAATACTAAACATGGAAAGTCATCAGCATGTATAATCTGTATCTCATTTACTAGAATTAGCTGAATTAATATTTTGTTTTGATATAACAAGAACATTATGATGGAAATGGAGCTACACACAAATACCAACAATATGAATTAGGCACTGTCTGAGATCAAGTAAAGGTGTTCAACCATATTAATATAAATTTCCACACATCTGCAGAGGACAAATATTCCCTTCTACTGATATGGTTAATAATAACTCTGTTTTTCCCTTTAATAATTAGCTGACACTGTTCATTTGTAGTGTACATACGTGCCATCCATCCCTCGAACTGCATCGTCTGCATCTCTTGGGTCTTCATACTCAATAAAGGCAAAGCCAGCAGGATTCCTAGCTACCCAAACATTCCTCAATGGTCCATAGTAACTGAATGCTCTCTCAAGCTCCTTCTCTGAGGCATCTCTAGAAATGTCCCCAACATATACCTTAGCATCAATGCTGCTGGAACGTGACATCTGGAATAATCAAACAAACATGATGAAATGAAATTCAAGAGTGGCGGTGTAAGAGACCGATTGATATGCACCGGTTACCACTCACCCTTGAATTTGCAGAAGTGATGACTGGTGATCCTTAAGAAATATCAGAACTTATGAGATCTGGGCAAAATTTAGACCTGTTACAAATATTAACATTGAAAGCATACATGGTAATCAAGCTTTGTACTTTGTATCTCCCAAAGAAAAGATACATTTTGATTCTTGATAAAAAAAAAGTTTAATGAAGACAATTTTCACAAATGTTTTTCAATTTCAATTCTCTCCGTAAAATTGTTCTGAACATGCAAAGTCTTTGAGCAGTTCAACAATGATATAATCCCACATTGGGTGTGCCTCAGGTGACAGTCTTTAGCCCTTTCCTCTTATGTTGCATTTATCAACAACCTTCTGCAGATAAGCAATTCCAAAACCAAGCTCTTCGTAGATGACAGCCTCCTGTATTTGTAACATTATCAAGCCTCAGACAGATTCAAAAGTACTCAAACAGGATCTGTTCACACTAGAAAGCTGGGCCTAGGACTGGAAGACAGCTTTTCAATGCAGACAAGTGTAAGGTGGTGAGCACCACTCAGACAAAACAACCCATTAAGACCAGCTACATTTTCCAAATATCTAGGAGTGAACGAACGCCTTATGGGACTACAAGACAACAATGAGGTGTAGAGCCTATTACATGCTGAACAAATCAATCCATACCTGCCAACTTTCCCATTACAGTCAGGAGTTTCCCCAATTTCACTTCCAATCCCTGCCTCCCAATCGTAGGGATCACAATTGGGGGTAATCTCCCGAGATCCTGCTAGATAGGTCATAACCTCTCTATGTTTTTCAAATGAGTAAACTTGACTACCTGGCCACATAATCAAAGCCTAGTAGCTAGGTGAGTACACCATGAGAACCCTGGAATACCCTCTCCAATCCACCAACCACCACCATAATCAACCGCTTGGAGTTAATGCAGAGCAGCTCCATTAGCCAACAGAAATTACAACAGACAAACTTGCTGCATTACAGCATCTACAATTGAAAGACTGGGAACCACTGGTGATTAGGGGGATCAAAATATGTCTATATTTATGAACAAAATCTACCACCATTTAGTAGCAATACCATTGGAGCTCTACCTTGTGTAGAGTGACACCAGGACTTTTGGAGGATAAACTATCTGCATTCCAACATCATAGAAAGAAGACTACAAAGCGTTGCATTTCCTGAAGGCCATCCCGTAATGAAATTAGAAACAGACTAGATGGACTTTACTTGTAATATGTACCAATATCTTGCTGTACGGTTTAAGCCTGGCCACATAACACCTCCAAATACCATGGCTTGTTTATATATCACTGGAAGTTGATCCTCGTTAGAATTATATTAAGTTGCACACACACACACGCGACACGCACGCAGCACGCCCCCCCCCCCCCCTCAAAAAAAAAAGCACAATCATTCAAATGCGTTTTTTGCAGACCGATATATTCGATAAAACGCATTGGTACAAAGTTAACGATATATAACGATACTGATGCATATGGAGTCTACCTCAGTCTAGTACTATACGTTTTTTTTCTCTCACTGCGTGTAAAACCTTGGTTTGAACATCATCTATGCGAACGAAACAGAGACCGGTGAACAAACGAAACTATTTAAAGTGATAATGTAAAATTCGCGTTTCACTGATTCACAACAGTCAACGTCGTGTTTAACCGTACGTTTGAGGGTTTCTTTCAAAAACTTACGCTGTATGGTCCTAGAAATATGGCCGCATGGATCTAAATAACTTCGTTCCCAGGATAGCTGCAAAAACAAAGACGTTAGCACTACGTTTCTCAGAGAAGCAGGGAGCGAGGCTTTATAGCCTCTTTTTCAGGAAATGCGTTTGCTGTCTATGTGATATGAAAAAAAAAGAATTTTGAATGGCGTTTTCAGACAAAGTAGATACAATCTCAGTATTTTACATTAAGATTTAACACAACTTAATTTTATTATCTAACCTAATTCTATTTTTTTTTAGTTCTCGTGTTTTCGATATTTGATCTACGTCCGACCAACGTTTACTTTTCATGGTGATGTGGCTTTTATGTGTAAGCGTCTGGATGCTACATCGATTTTCGACAGCGGGAGGTGGCAGGTAACTTACCGTGGTTGAGAAACTCTGCATGCAGCACTGTTGTACACATCATTGTCATGCTTTTAAATTCTACATTATGTAACTTGTAACTATTAATCGCTTTCAAAATATATGAAGGATGCATTGGCCACCAACCTCCTGTATAAAATGGATAATGGAAAAAATGCCATGCCAAATCCTGTTAAATGTACAATAAACATAGGATCATGTAGGCAAATATAAAAACTTAAGTAATCACGCCTTAACTAAAAGCTACATGTATCGTTTGTTACAGGTTTGAAATTTTAAAAAATACTGTTCATATACTGGAACACTTCAAAAGATAGAGAATAGTCTTTATAACTCCAAATAACATAAGAGGCTGATGATAAGCTCCTGTATGACGTTATTGTGCCGACTGCGACCTCTTATTTTCCAAGCTCTAATTCTATGATGCTCATTCCATCCTCAAATTAGGACAGAAAGAATTATCCAATTTTATCTCTATTTACGTCTTGATAAGAACTATGTATACTTATACATGGTTTTCCATAATTTTGTTAGTAGCAGGCTGTGTAGTGAAAGTAGGAGGCTGGCCTGCCGTGTACGTGTAGTCGTGTACGGAACATAATTATGCAACTGGATTGGTGTAGGCGGCCAAATGATCAAAGTAGCCGGTTAAATTGGCCGACGACCGCCTCTTATGGAAAACCTTGTTTATAGATGGGCATTGATGTTCCCTTTGGAATCATCATATCACTATGATTTAGAATTTAAATAATCAGGTATATTATCATCAATAAAAACTCCCAGGCACAGTACATGGCTGTGTTGACATAGCTGGATTCCATGGTTTCATTAATGGTTTGATTGTTTCGGCAAGCAAACATCAGAACTGGTATAAATATTTACATAGCTAAGGTTAAAATTACATCTCATTCATATTGAAATTGCAATACAGTTAATTTTCATTGGCAGAGTTTACATACAAATTTGTAATGCTTGAATATGAGCCACTTTCTTGTTTTACATTCTAGTGATAGTGTTAGTAGTATTGGTATCCATAATTGTCAGGTTTACTGAGTAGAATTCAGTTGATGATTGCTTTGAATTGTATTTACCTTTTTTAGTGGATTGAACATTCCAACAATTGGTGTGGTACAAAAAACTATACATATTGCTACTGTGTTGTCATAACCATATGATTCCAACAATTGGTGTGGTACAAAAAACTATACATATTGCTACTGTGTTGTCATAACCATATGATTCCAACAATTGGTGTGGTACAAAAAACTATACATATTGCTACTGTGTTGTCATAACCATATGATTCCAACAATTGGTGTGGTACAAAAAACTATACATATTGCTACTGTGTTGTCATAACCATATGATTCCAACAATTGGTGTGGTACAAAAAACTATACATATTGCTACTGTGTTGTCATAACCATATGATTCCAACAATTGGTGTGGTACGAAAAACTATACATATTGCTACTGTGTTGTCATAACCATATGATTCCAACAATTGGTGTGGTACGAAAAACTATACATATTGCTACTGTGTTGTCATAACCATATGATTCCAACAATTGGTGTGGTACAGAAAACTATACATATTGCTACTGTGTTGTCATAACAATATGATAAAGATAAATGTTATAGTACATCATGATAATTCTATACATTATACAGTAATGTCACTACCAGGTGATAAAGACAACTGTAATTATGTCATGGTTGAGCAGTAGTTCTAATCTTAGTTATGTAAATATCTATGCTGGTGTTCTGATGATGTCCGTCTAGTTAGCCAAAACATGTACAAACCAGACTATTTTCTGTACCATACCAATTGCTTTTAAATGTAGCGGTTTCAGTTACTACAAAACATATATGAATCAGCTACACCAAACAAATACTAGCAAGGATTATAAAAGTAAAAGTGCTACAAATGTGATGTGATACATTGTGCAATGTGTGAACGATGTATGCACAATAGGAACACTGGACAAAGTAAGCTATCACACTTTTGTGTGTATGTTGTGCGGCTCTATTGCACAAAAGTCCGATTCTATCGTGGTCATCATAAATTTAGAAATGACTTATAGATAAGTGTGGGATAGGGTTTATTTATTTTCTAAATATAGATGAGTACAACAGTTTTAATATTCCTATGAACGCAATTTAGTAATTACTACACAAGTTTCCATTTAATTTTCAATCCGTAATATGCCAAACTTTTTTACCAAACTGCACAAAACGTGTGATCCTATCGCACAATTATATGCAAGATACTGTATAGTGCATATGTGTGCACAATGTAGGCACAATATATGCATGATGTATGCATGGTGTACGCACAATATTTTTGGTATTTTGTTTTTTTCCATATCAAATCATATGTAAATGTAAGCAAACCTGTCCCAATATATTCTGACAAAAGTCCAGAAATCTGAGAGCCCGAAGTAGAAGAGTTGCTCATGTTGTGATTGTCTTGTAATTGAGATTGAATTCAAGCATCAGATTGATTAACAATAGAAAGACACAAGTGTTTGCATGACACAGTATTGCAAAAATGGCCGATATGTTGCAGTATTATGAGGGTGAACCAATGAAGTCGGGAGGGTCACTGCGATGAAATAACTATTGTTATCTCAACTACGAAATCTTAGCCATAAGTTTAGAAACACTTATACTGTAACCAAACATGACTTCTCTTTTTTGGATTATATGGCATTTTGTCGCCTTTACAAAGTGAAAAATCTCGTTAGAAGAAGTTAAAAGTATAAACAGCACTGGGTCTCTTAAGATAACATCTGTGAAATAATGACTTTGGCCATGAAATTTCAATTTTCTGTAGAACAATGGTCTATGGAAAATTCAAAGTCAGTTTTAGACACTGATATGGTATGTTACATCTTGGAGGAATTGATATATAGTGTTTGAAATGTTTTACACCAATGATTTTCTATCTGGCCTGGCTGAACTGGTCTCAACTTAATGAAGTGAACAACTTGTGATCAACCAAAAGTTTTGAAATTATAATATATGGTTCATTGATTTCTGGAATGATGAACAAGAAAGATTGTGAAAGGAAATTACTTCGGGCAATATTAATAATTTAAGTCAAGAGAGTAAAATTTGTTATAATCTTCATACAGCTTCACATTAACAAAGGATTGGAATGTCACTTGATATATTTATAAAAATATTGAATACCAGATGATTGATGCAGGTCCATTGGGCCTATTGTTTTGTTCTTTTGGAGTTACTGATAGTTACATGTTGTTCATGACCCTTGTATGGTGATACAGTCAGGCATATTGTATTATATATGATAGTAATGCTGAAGTACTATCTGTTTATTTCAACACATCGTGGCTGAACCATCTGTGGTGAAAATGACAACATATATGTCTTTTCTGTTTTCTGCAGAGTGTAGTCCACCATGGGAAGGTCAAGATCACGAAGCAGAAGTTATGGCCGTAATCGGAGAAGTCGAAGTGACAGTTATGACAGTCGCAGCCCAACTCCTGATGATGGCTTCCGTGTCCATGTATCAGACCTGGGCATTGATCCTTCCAAAAGAGAAATAGAAAGATGTTTTGACAAGTATGGTCCTATAATGGAGGTGTGGGTGGCTAGAAATCCTCCCTGTTTTGCATTTATTGTCTACAGGTACAAGGAGGATGCAGAAAGAGCTATACGGGAAATGGATGGCAAGTAAGTGGTAAATTAGTGTTCAGTTTACTGTTATTGTTACTTGAATTATTCATTCAAAAAAACAATTTTATTTGGGAAATTAAGAAAGTAAATTGTTTAGAATATAGTGGTTTTAGATTATGCATAAGCATAAATTCTAGAAGTTCAATCAAATTCACAAGGCACTTTGTTAAAATGTATTTTTTTTTTTTTTTCATGAAAAACTATTATTTTCTTTCTAGAAACAGTTCAAACACTTTCTATTCTTGTTTTATCTTCAATTCCATTGTATGCCTAACTGATGATAGAGACATTGTATTAGTACTGACTCAATGTGGTCACTTTTCACATCGCTGCAGGAAGAAGGTTGTAAGCAACCGATTCTTCCAATTATGCATGTCGCATAATTAGCATTGATATAGTGTGATTTCTTTGCATTTGACAAGCAAATGATCAATACAACCTGATTTTGGATGCATGGTGTCCATTCTGATCTTTTGAGCTCAAGTTTTATTTTCACAATTATGATCTGTATAACTCAAAAAAGTTCACCAATATTTTAATATTGTTTGTTCTGACTGAAAGTTTACTGTAAATTAGTCTTGGCAAAAGTGGACATCATCTCATATTCACTATTCCCATTGAGTTATGTATATACCTGGTCAATGTCTAAGTCGGAAGAGAAACATCATCACTTTGATTGTTCAGAACATCAATAGGAGATATGTATGTAATTACTTAGATTGATCAATTGAACCTGAAATGGAAATAATTACATTGTGTTTGTATTGATCCGAGATATTCTCATTTGTTAAGTTTCAGTTTGCTTATACATGTATTTGAAATTTTGCAGAACAATGTGTGGAGGAAGGGTGCGTTGTTCATTTGCACGTCCACGAACCCGTGGGAGACGAAGTCGTGGCTTTGACCCTAACTTGAGATGTTATACATGTGGAGAGAAAGGCCACTTCTCACGAGATTGTATAGAGATATGGAGACAAAGAAGACGAAACAATAGCAGGTAAAAAAATGTGGAGACACACTGGACAGATGGTGGTCAGAACTCATTGTACAGTGGTCAGTAGAACAGCATAAACTCAAACATATTACCTCCCATCTTCATTCTTAAAATTACATTTTCATTCAGTCTTCTGAAAGGATATAATTCATGTGAATGTTAAAGAAAGTAACATGTTATATCCCTTAAAAAAACACACACACACACTAATAGACCAGTCAAGAGTAAAGATCTTAGATCAATTGCTTGACAACTAAAATATGCTGAGCAGCATTTATAAGCAGTTTATAAATAGTTTAAAATATTGATGATATTACTGCTGTCCTATAGCATGATACTCTCAGTGTTATATATCTATTGTACAAGCATGTACTAACAATCTAACTAACAAACATGTCAGCTTCCAAACACAAAATGGAATTCTTATTTGATAAAAGTAATTTTAATTTTATAATTGAACACTAAGCAAGTGGTGTCATCAACTCCAAAATCTTTTATACATTTGGTCCACTAATCATATTCACAGAATTTTTTTTATCGCTGAAAAAAAACACCCAATTATCTCCAGGACCAATTTGTTTTGTATGATTTTTGATCTCGGAACTCTTATTTATCATATTAATTGATACAAATTCAAACCATGGAAAATTAAATCAGATTCTGGCCACAACAATGATAGTTAATTATAATGTGGAAAAAAACTATTTCATTTTTTGCAATTCGTTTTCCAGATAAAAATTCAGTTTAGAAATTCTCATTTCCTTAGAATGCTTGTAATGTAATTCAATATGTAGACCTATAGATGTGAATTATATAGACACCAGTAGGTGGTTATAGCTTACTTCAGTCTGGTCAGATATTGTTTTTATTTTCACATAGTCCAGTATCAGCCACATTATTTGGTAAAAATACAAAAATTGCTTTTTAACAAATTAACCATAAAAGTATCATAAGTATCTTTTTCTCATTAAAATTTGTCTAGGACACCACTGTATGAAGACTGACATGTTTCTCTGCCAATAATTAGAATACTAACACTGATATATATATATTCTACAGGCTAATAATCTTACATAATGATCTCAGAATATTTCTGTAATGATGCAGTATAAAAAAAACAAGAAAGGGATGATACTGGGTCACAGTTTTTCAAATACAGTGTAGCAATAGGATATTCTGCAACTTTTATAACCACATCCTGTCTTTCAATGCATTTTTGTGTGCAAACCACAAACTTTAACATTCCAGTCAGACCTGTTATTTAGCTTGTACAGGAAAAAAATATCTGATGAAGAAAACTAAGGGATGTCATTGATGCATTTTCTAGCCAAATATCACTGACAGCACTGGTTTGAAAGACTTGGGAGTGTTTCAGACTTATTCCTTGATATTGTTTGACGGTATTTATAGTGCTAAACCAATTTGGTTCCACTAGAAGCCCAACATGTTTAGGTCTCTGGTTACGACTACAGGTCCAAGCTCGTTTCATGTATCAAAATTAATATGTTTAAATATATGTAGTAACTGCTAAGTACCCGGTATGATCAGTTGGGTCTAAACAGGCTTTGCACTTGTAATCAAAGTTTTAGATTTTGAACATCAAGGTACAATTATTAGCTGGTAAGTTTGTTACCTGTCTTCAATACTGAGCTGTAGTCTGTAGCCTAAGTATGAAAAAATCAATGTAATGTGGTAAATGTTAGAAAAATCTGTCTTCTAATCAACTGAAAAATGGTAACTTCACATGCAGTCTGAACAGAAAGGTCTTTTATATAGTAAACATCATTACAATTTTTAGAGACTCAAGTGGTTAGAGGAACTTGTCAATGTGGAACGCCGAAAACGGTAAATTATTAGAAATGTTGATATTTTAGATTTCCCAAATTAAAATACAAAGCGGATAGTTACGTAAAGATGGTTATGTAATTTGAACAAATTTTGTACAGGGAAAATGCACAGGATATGAAATTTTGAAATGGGAAACATTTGTTGTGTAATAAGATATTTATACAGAGATAGTTGCGTGTCAACCTTAGTTTTTCTTAATATTGATCACAATCAAGACCATTCTTTTTGCTGTTAAAATCTAATTTGACTCCGAAAATGTCTTCGTTTTTAAAATTGGCCCTAACACAAGCTGATTATGACATTTATGAAAACTATGTTTATTATGAAGTGGTTAGTTGCAGTTCAGTAGTGTAAGACTCATTGCTAGTAAATACAACTTCTATTAAGTCCTCTTTTTCATATTATTTCTAATGTAAGGATGAATGAAATTGAAATAGGGAGCCTAATACTTATTACAAATGTAGTTGAGTTTCTTTCTTGGTGGTCAGTGCATGTTGATCAAGATAAACTTTTGTTTGGGCTGGGTTTTTTTTGCAGTTAACATACAGTCTCCTTAGTCATGGTGTTTATTGAAAGCATCATCTTTTGACCTTGTAAAGTTAAGCATGTTTTATAAAATCCATATCTTTGGTCTTAATTGAACTTAATAAGTCATAGCAGTCCTTTTCATTCACTGTGTCTTTATTATGAAATGCATTAATGTGTATATACATGTAGTAGTACAGATAAAAAGGTTATAGACATGAGTGTTTATTCAAAGTCTTAGCTATGAGGTCACGAGCACAGTACTAAACAGTTATTAGGATGAAATGATTCCTCATATAATAGATACCAGGTATTACACAGTGCATGTTTCTGTGGTATCTTTACATGTGACTGATTTCCCAGAGACATTTTATCCTGTGCTGGTACTAATATGAATGGCAGACATACAAATTCATTAAATGAAAAACAAAATAAAGGCTGGTGATGCCATCAGTCATCCATGTAAGAATTGTTCGATTTCAGTTTTCAACAATTTTATTGATATATAAATACATATGTTGCAAAGGGGTTGGACATCAGGCAAGAGCCACCTTATGTTCTTTCTCACACATAACATCACTGTGTTACAAGACAAAATACACAAATGAAATCATTAGATAAAATCACAATATAACACATGGAAGTAACTCCTATCTACCTGAATCACTCCAATTCAACCATGACCTGATGAATTCCCTATTCAGAAATGATATTTGTCCTTAGTTATGAGGGAAAGGAGTGTTACCCATGTTTGTCCTGTCTTACACCCAAGCCTTTTCTTTTCAGGTTGGGACTTACTTATTGTTACCCATATTCATTTTGTCTTAAGCCCCTGCCTTTCATGTCGGACAGTGTTACTGCTTTTCTTGTTGGACAGCTTTATCCATGTTAGTCCTGCCATATCTGCATTTCATATATTCACTTCATAGGTGATTTAAAGCTTTAATGCAAAAGTCAATTACAACAATACGTCTAATAGTTTGTGTTGCAGTATTCTAAGGTCAAAGTCAGAATCGTCATGAATATTTTTGATAATTTGTCCTATACATTGGCCATATTGATACTTATAACGCATGGAATGTGGTTTTTCTTGTACAGGGTTTATTATATTTATTGGTTTCTTTAATATTTTTCCCTATCACTTGTTATTAACACCATGATGGAGATATCATTGCACTTCTTTTGCTTATAGTAGTGACACTTTCAGATTACCTCCCTTATCTCTTTGTTTCTGACCAACTGTCCTGGAAATAAAAGATGGAGATGTCTGCTCATTTTCCTACGTTTTAGTTTGTAGCATCTCCACCTTGTGTTAACTGTCAAATTAAAAGGCTAATCAGTTCCACTAGAAAATATTTTATTTCAAGCTGTTACTTGTCATACTTAAACATGGTACTACAGTGTATTATGTGTATGAAATCAGATCAGGAGTGTAAAAATTATTTTCAAAACTTTTTTTAAAGACAAAAATGCATCAAAAATCCAGTTTCAAAGTTCTCCTTTCATTGCTTTTTCTTTCATGAAGAAGAACCCACTTTTGTCTATAATTTGACACTGTATGGTTGACCCAGGGGTCGACTTGTACAATTTTTACACTCCTACAGGTGGTGTTCCTTTGTTGTGTTGTTGTGAACTAATCACTTAGGTAGCAGTTTGTATAACAACACTTTCAGTTTTGTATCTGAGAGATCATGCTTTAATATCATAAAGTACATGACAGCTTCAGTGACACCTGTTTTACTTAACTGACAGCAGATAAAAGATTAATATCATAACAGTTTGTATAAAACTCCAAATTTATGCATGTAATTTTTATGCCACATTTTACCCCAAAAAAATTTCATTACAGATAATGCTCCAAAGATTATGAATACTAACCACTGAAATAAAAATGACACAGGTCTTCTGTATCAGCAAAACTTTAAAAAGTTGAAATGATTTCTTATTATATTTAATGTATTCTAAGGAAATAAGATCAAATTTCAATGTTTGCTTTCATTGATTTCTATACACTGTACTCTGAAATGTGGTTTGTTTGTGTATGGCCATGTACAAATTATGGCTAATTCTCATGTGAGCTTTCACAACTTTTCAAGGGAATTTCATTTTATATAAAGTAATGGCTTGTGACACAATCACAGTCAAAAGGGTTGCCTGACAAAGATTAGTTTCCTGTCATCAGTCATTCTTACAAAGTCTAGAACTAACTACAGATTTAATATACTTCAAGGGTGGTATACAGGTGAAAAAAACTAAATAGATCTTTATGTAGCAGAACCAGAAATCAGATATTTTGAAAATGACCCACAATTAATTTGTACGTCGGAGATCAGGTATGGATATCAACAGAAAATAAGTGTGGCCACGTATTGGGAAGCAGACTTCTAGCTCATGTTTTTTTTTTAAGGTGGGGTAGAGAAGGGACATGTATGAAAAATGGATTCTTACAGGTCATGTTTCATGTTGACTCAGAATCCATGATATCTTTGTGTATAATCTGACTTGCTGTTTGATTGGCTGTCAAAGGCATTCTCAACTGTTATTTCTATTTGTCTTGTATTGATGAAATATGTATAGACCAATTTTTGTCACAATGACCAAAGAGTTTTCAATGAAAAATTGGCAGTAATTCTACAAATAGGATGTTCTGATCTCTTACTGAATGGAACTTTTTCAACTTCTTAATTTCTGTAAGCCATTGTCAATAGTGCTTATAGACGCTCTTGTGATCCTAAATTTTGGTGAGAATTCTTGGATTTATAACCTGCTGTTTGATTGGACATCTCTTACTAATTCTCAATTCCATCAGATGAATTATATAAACCAAAACCTATACAAATGTTCCTATCCTTTACCAAGTGTTGTGTTTTAATGCTTAACATCAAATCCTCTGCATGATGATATCTGTTTGATAGTGTAGTACAAATGTGATAAGAGATAGCATTGCACAAACCTTACGAAAGATTCATAGTCAAATTCATGCTTCAATTCAATTAAGGTTGTCAAAGCACTTCCATTTAATTCCTTTTCAGAGTCAAAGGTCAAATTTCAAGTTCATTCAATGATTTAATGATAAAAAAATTGTTTCTGCACAATGATATATTCCTGCTGATGAACCTATATATACAACTTTCTTTGTCAATGATTTATTCTTGTTTAGAATTGTTTACATGTCTGAAGATTTAGGTCTGAACTTTGTCAACATAATTGCAAGATAAAAACTGCAAAAAGTGTTATTTTCACTTGGTTTAATTAACCTTTTCTGGAATTGCCTTTCAAGTCTTCAAAAAGGCCATAGTTTCTCCATGCTTCGATGTGCATGAATGTCAAACAATATTGAAGGGTGTACAGTATTGTAAAGTTTGTCTGATTTTTGCAAATTAGAAATGCTACCTTAATTTGTATTGGGTTTTTTTACAACATATTGAAGACACTTAAATCGCTCTCGTTGGCCAGAACGGAAGATGATAAGGGGTCAATTTTCAGTATCTTCCCTTATTTCAGAGGTAGACATTGCATGCTCCACATTGTTGTGCTTTGTCTGTGGAACATGTCAATTTACAAACATTATTTTGATTAAGCTGTAAAGTGCAGGGAGTAATGACTTATACATGTTTTGTACAGATATACACAGTGTAGTTGTTTGTGCCAGGTTGGCAGGTTTATTGACTTGTTTTTCTCTAGAGGAGGCAAATCAACATCCAAACAATGACCAAACCAATGGAGGCAACTGCAATTTTTAATTTTGATGAAGATTCTTAGAAGTTTTTGAAAAGACATTTATGCTATTTAACAGATTAAATTGCTAATTATAATGACAGATACAGTTAGCTTGTATCATAGATACAGATGAAGATATAACAATAGGCCTTCCTATACTGTTTGTATCAATTTATTACCTTTGTTTGTTTTATATTCAACCACGAGAAGCAGATTCCTGACTAATTTAAACGCTTTTCACACAGTAATGGTAAATTGAATGAGATCGAGTGCTCACATGGTGTGATGAGGTCATGTGGTGAAGGATAAAAAATTGAATATTGACCCCTTGGTTGTGATTGGTTGTCTCCGTGTTGGTGGAACGCAGTGATTGGTTGTATGGTGGAGCCCTGTGATTGGTTGCCTGATGGTGGGGGAACCAAAAGGCTGTTTTGTAAAGATATAGATACATGTGATAGTGCTTGACTTGGGCACTAACAAGTCATGTGGCCAGGTATGTATCAAGGAGTGTTGTCAAAACATCACACCAGACATATCACACCAATGCTCCTTCACAATACTGACCAGTTTCTTATATGAACTGATGAAGGGCTTCGTATTATACTTGTTTTATTATTTCTTTTTGATATACAAAATGCATTTTTTTATGACTACTGAAGATAGATTTCAGCTTTGATCAATGTGTTGTATATAATTGCCATTAAAAAAAAATACCCACAGAGAAAATGTCGAGACTTTTATTTTTCCAAGATAAAAACAAATTACTTAATGTTAGATTTGTTTGTTTTCAGTCTTTATATATATTGTCATAAATTACCTGTTTGTTAAGTTTCAGAACAATCAAATGGACATTTTTTCCCCACAATATTTCTTATTTTGTAGATGTCACCGTTGCCTCTGTAAGGTTGTGTGTATAAATAGAACGAAGTTCAGCATGATTAATTTCTATTTAACCAGAACCCGTTATTTTATCTTCAAGTAGCTTTAATGACATCAGGATAATACAGGGCATTTTAATTTATGTTAAAAAAATTGCAGATTTTGTTTCATTTTTGTTTCTCACATTTGTTTATTTTGTTGAGAGCTGAATCAGATAAAGAGGATAGCAATTTATATTGATTTTGTCTCATTTATCCTAATACCAATTCCTTATTTCCTGTACCTATCTCTACCTAAGGAATCATTTGCTTTTGATTAAGACATTTAAAATCAGTATGCAAATTCCTGGTGAGTGTAACGGTGGAAGATTTTACTTGAAAGGGAGCTTAATATCCAGACATATTCCTGTATGGGGTTGTTAGGCGATTTTATTTTTATCTTTTAATTTTTCGAAGACGTGGCTACACATCAGAGTTGCTTTGATTTTGTTTGCAAATATTTTTTGTGATACATGTAAATGTTTTTTTCATTGAAAACAGTTGATTTTCTATTACATATATATATGTAGTTTGTTTTGTAGTTTCTTCTCTGATAATCTACTTGAAATATCTAGTATGTAGAACTGATTTTTTGGTACAATATTTCAGAGAGCGCTATAGTAGACGACGAAGTAGATCAAGGTCCCGTTCAAGGTCAAGATCAAGGTCAAGAGACCGCTCTCGGCGTTCAAGAAGAAGCAGAAGTCGTAGCAGAAGAAAGAGCAGAAGTGAGAGTAGGAGCAGGCGTAGGTCAAGGAGTAGGAGTAGGAGGAGAAACAGACACAGTAGGAGCAGGTACGCTCTATAGTATGATTATGGATTAGGAGTACGTATAGGAGTAGGAGGAGAAACAGACACAGTAGGAGCAGGTACGCTCCATAGTATGATAATGGATTAGGAGTAGGTATAGGAGTAGGAGGAGAAACAGACACAGTAGGAGCAGGTACACTCTATAGTATGATAATGGATTAGGAGTAGGTATAGGAGTAGGAGGAGAAACAGACACAGTAGGAGCAGGTACGCTCCATAGTATGATAATGGATTAGGAGTAGGTATAGGAGTAGGAGGAGAAACAGACACAGTAGGAGCAGGTACACTCTATAGTATGATAATGGATTAGGAGTACGTATAGGAGTAGGAGGAGAAACAGACACAGTAGGAGCAGGTAGACTCTATAGTATGATAATGGATTAGGAGTAGATATAGGAGTAGGAGGAGAAACAGACACAGTAGGAGCAGGTAGGCTCTGTAGTATGATAATGGATTAGGAGTAGATATAGGAGTAGGAGGAGAAACAGACACAGTAGGAGCAGGTACGCTCTATAGTATGATAATGGATTAGGAGTAGGTATAGGAGTAGGAGGAGAAACAGACACAGTAGGAGCAGGTACACTCTATAGTATGATAATGGATTAGGAGTAGGTATAGGAGTAGGAGGAGAAACAGACACAGTAGGAGCAGGTACGCTCCATAGTATGATAATGGATTAGGAGTACGTATAGGAGTAGGAGGAGAAACAGACACAGTAGGAGCAGGTACGCTCTATAGTATGATAATGGATTAGGAGTAGGTATAGGAGTAGGAGGGGAAACAGACACAGTAGGAGCAGGTACGCTCTATAGTATGATAATGGATTAGGAGTATGTATAGGAGTAGGAGGAGAAACAGACACAGTAGGAGCAGGTACGCTCTATAGTATGATAATGGATTAGGACTATGTATAGGAGGAGAAACAGACACAGTAGGAGCAGGTACGCTCTATAGTATGATAATGGAGTAGGAGTAGGTATAGGAGTAGGAGCAGGTACGCTCCATAGTATGATAATGGATTAGGAGTACGTTTAGGAGTAGGAGGAGAAACAGACACAGTAGGAGCAGGTACGCTCTATAGTATGATAATGGATTAGGAGTAGGTATAGGAGTAGGAGGAGAAACAGACACAGTAGGAGCAGGTACACTCTATAGTATGATAATGGATTAGGAGTACGTATAGGAGGAGAAACAGACACAGTAGGAGCAGGTAGACTCTATAGTATGATAATGGAGTAGGAGTAGGTATAGGAGTAGGAGGAGAAACAGACACAGTAGGAGCAGGTAGGCGCTGTAGTATGATAATGAACAAAAAGTAGGTATAGGTATAGGAGTAGGAGGAGAAACAGACACAGTAGGAGCAGGTACGCTCCATAGTATGATAATGGATTAGGAGTACGTATAGGAGGAGAAATAGACACAGTAGGAGCAGGTACGCTCTATAGTATGATAATGAACAAAAAGTAGGTATAGGTATAGGAGTAGGAGGAAAAACAGACACAGTAATGTCTGATAATGAATGATAATTGATTAGAAGTAGTTGGAGATTCTTAAGTATAGGAAGAAGATCATACACAGCAGGAGCAAGTAAGCTTAATTTTGAATTAATTCATTAAGCCTAGTATTAAGCATTGTCCTTATAGCAACTTTAAGTCTATTAGCAGGAAGAGAAACAATACAGAAATAAGCAGGGTTAGTAATAATTTGGTAGTACATACCGAAGTTGATATGATGAAAATTTCTTAGAGTGGTAGGTTATGTAGAAGATAGTCATGAAAGTATGTAACAGTAGATATAACTCTGATACAACAGCAGATAATCTTCACAGGTATGTGATACATCAGGATAATCTAGTAGTAAGTTATAGAATGAAATAAAGCAGCATGAAGCAGGTAGACTATTTAATCTGATGTATTCTGTATGTCAATAGTGTAGACACAATGGAAATGTTGATCATAATATGCAAATTATAATCAGTAACCAGTTTTTTATATGGTTTTGGAAACTAATATTAATCTATTATTTGTATTGATAGGTCCAGGTCTAACTCAAGGTCAAAGAGGAGGAAAAAGGACAGGAGTAGGACACCTGAGGATAAACATCGTGACAGAAAAGAGGACAGAGCGAAGGAAAAACAACAACATGATAAACAAGAAAAGGAAGAAGAGAAAGAGCAGAACACAGAATCTAACAGGTCTAGATCACACAGTAGAGAAATTGAAGCAAATGGAAGTCCTGTAAGGTCAAGGTCACAGTCCAGAGAGGACAGAACAGGTTCACACAATAGAGATGAAAGGTCAAGGTCACATTCAAAAGAAGAAAGGTCACGATCTCCAGATCAATCTAATGATAACAATTCAAGATCAGTCAGCCATAGTCCTAGATATTCAAGGTCAAGGTCAAGAAGTCCAGAGGCGAAAGATGATGATGAAGATATTGTCGACCCCATGGAAACTGCTGAGGATGCTGAATAACATGTTTACAGACATCTTGACAGATAAAATGCATGCAAGACTGCAACAGAATAATCTGCTGGGTTTTGTCATTTTTTTCAGGAAACTCTTATTTCAATTTTTTTTTTTTTTCAAGGCAATTGTGTATATTCCTAAAATCTGTTTAATTTTAATAATTGAGTGTGATTGCAATAAGGAGATTTTAAAAGTAGAATATACATTTTTGCTATTTGTATGTAATATTTCATCTTTCATTTTCAAACAAATTTTGATAAGGAATGTCTAATTTCAGTTCTGGAATCACGTGGATAAAATATTTAGCAAATAAGTAGAGGGTTTACAGGGAATGATATTATGACAGTTTTCTTGAATTTAACAAATTTGATAGGTCAGCCTGTATGACATCTATTGTTAAAACTAAGAATTGTGTGTAATTACTAATCAAAGGTGCATTGTGACAGTTCTTCAATGCATATCTTATGTATAAACATAATCAGAAAATCAGTAGTGATTTAAATGTGTTCTGTATGTTAACACTAATTATTAATCAGGAGTCCTGAAATGAAACTTTTAGAATGTTTCTTTAAAAATCTGCCTGTAAAATAATTAACAATCAGAAGTCGTGAAAAGGAAACCCATGAAATGTTTCTTTTAAATTTGCCTTTAAAATAATTGATAATCAGAAATTGTTATATGAAACTTATTGACTGCTTCTCAATAAAACTGCCTGTAAAATCAAATTAATGTAAGTGGTAGGACACATGAATTTTGTTCAGCTATGATAACATAGTGAACATACACATCAACAGTTCCTGGTAATGGTTACAATTATCAAATGAAGCAACACTACTTAAATTATTCTACATTGGGAACATCTACATTGGGAATGGAGAAAATTGAGAATGGATCAAATCATTGTTCAGAATATTCCTTGAAAAAAGAAATTCATCGGGAATCTTTTTTTTCTTTGCTGAATGATTGAATACTACAGTTATATAGAGTAACACCTGTAGAAGAAGGACACAATTGTATTAGTAGTACAAACGGTATCGGACAATTAGTCTGTTTAGAGTAAAACCTTTTTATTAGGAAACGTTTGCTGCATAGAAGTGTTATCTGCATTGGCAAATGAGGCAAAAGGAAGGGTAGACTGAAGTTTGATATTAGAGATGAAATAGAAGACTTTAGGAGTTAAGATTGAATTAATCAATGTGTTTTTATACAACAGTAAATTTAATTCCGTTTGTACTGTTATATGGACATCTTTTGAAGATTCTTGATTATACACGAGATTAATGTTTGATATTTTTTGTGTTCATTTTTATCTTTTTTTAATGAGTATTATTAGTCAGTGATGTTCTGGTTTGTAAGAATATGATTTTAACACATATTCTTCTTCATGCAGAATGTTGTAGATTATAGATAATACCTTGTTCAGGACATTCAGTTGACCCTTGACCTTAGCAATATCAGATATCATATCACATATTGGAGGGGTAAAATCATGGAATCACAAATGTGAAGAATCAAATCACTGAAATAGACATATCTGTTTAAACTCATAAGTTCATGAATCAATTAAATACATTCTCTTTCAAGGGTCTACTGAATGTCCTCTTGGTTTTGGTTACAATGTAGATTGTTGATCCAATATCAGCGATCAGTGTATATCACTGTTGTCTATCAGCTGTTGCTTTTGACCGTAACTTTATGTCGGATTTCTATTCAAATGATCACACAACAATATAGCTTGACTGTATTTGTGCTTTTGTTTTATCAATAGTTGATATTCTCGTTAGAAAATGGTGTATAAAATATTGAATGTTTTGGTGTAAAATTGTGGTCGTTATGCAGAAACAGATGAACTCAAACTAAAATCACATATTCAGACGTCATCTTTGCTGCTTATTAAGAAGTATCATGGTTTGATTTGTATTGATGAATATTTAGGGCAGATTTTGAAGTCAGTACATGGTGGTCATTGTTACGTGTTGTGGATATGAAGTTATGTGTGCTTTATGTCCAAGTCAATCGGTCATTGATATTTCTCTTCTGATTAATGCTGTTATTTTTGCACATCACTTCTCAGACCAGACTTTTTGAGAAATATAAAAAAAATGGATCCTAAAATTCATTCTTAGATTCATGATGTCATTAACCATGAGTGCGAGACAAATATTTTCCTTGAAATATTTTAACCAATACATTATCTATCACATTTAAACATGAAAAAATCTGGTTTATGGATTCTAATTCCTTACGGTCAAATTTGTTAATTTATATGAAGAAATGTGATTTTTTTTTTTTAAAACGAGACCTTTATTAACGTATACCCAGTCTTATTATTTTCTAAAATTGAAAACATAGTTCTCAATATAAAATCAATTCCAGTCTGTGCTAACACTCGTTCAATCTGGAGCCAGATGTATGAAGAGTTAGGAATCTGATGTATATAACTTTGTCTTCTCGTGGTTTGAGGCTTTAAATTGTAGAGTTAACACAATATGAATGTGTATTTGATAACTAATGTTTGCTGTAATTTCTGTAATACTGTATAAAAATTTGAAAACATCCTCCACTGCACATGTCTTCTAAATATGGAATAACCAGGCAGTAGATCCTAAAATCTTTCATCCAAATCTATCGCAAGTAGAAGTGATATGTCATCAGCATTGGAGACTAACACTTAATATACAAATATACACAAATGATGTACAAACTGTTTTTGTATGGTAAAAGATTGAACTGCATATGGCTAGAATGACGTTTCACTATTTTCCTATAATATTCCGTTCAGGAGACTACATTTAAATAGTGTGGCTAAGGTATGAAGTGTAGTGTCAGTATTGTTTACAAAGTACAGTAAATGAATAAAGCACCTGTTTCAACTGTAACACTTTGATAACAAATATCTGAAGTGATCAGGCGACTTATGCTCCCCACATGAATTTAACCCGTCTCTAATCAGTCTGAAAGATGAAAACAGCAGGTCATTCTAATCATTACTCGTTATATTTTCGCAGGATTTTTTTTTAGTATAGATACACAAAAATGAAGCATAAGAAGTTTCAAGTTATAATGAGATCCAACTAATATCGTATCTTGTTACCAATGTTGTAATCTATTTTAATGGAATTGTTGGGTTTTTCTTTAAATGTTGATGAATAAGCCATATTCTAATAAAAGACAATGTGAGACAATATGTACTTTTTAGTGTTTTATTTAGAACTGAATTTCAGACAGTCTGCTAGTTGTGAAGAACAATCTTGCACATATGAAAATCCAGCAACAACTTTAATATTTCTGTTGCGAACTTGTTGAGATTGAAAAGATGTGGTCTTGCAGAAGGTAAATGAATATTTGTATTTCTCCTTCAGAACAGGGTTCTATTCACTTGAACAACATGGTAAATCACTGTCTATAAAGATTTACGAGGTGGGTGTCTGTTACAAGTTTTATTACGTATTATGATAACTTTAACTAGGAGTGATATCTTTTCAGTATAAGGACTTCCAAAGATTGATATTTGCCATAGCGGACAGCTGTTACAAGTTTTATTATCGATTATGTAAAAATGGAATGATATATTTTCAGTACCTGACTGAAGTTGTCTTGATTCGTCCTTTAGCACTATAGAAAGAGTTTAAATACCCACGTTATACAATGTAATACTGAATTGTGAAGATTCCCCTCTCAATAGCCTACACATTACTGGTACGTTAGAGACGTTTCATAAGCGATATAATTAGAGATTTGGAGTTAACAGAATTTTGATGGATTCGGATTGCAGTGTGTGAAAGCATTTTCTGTGATGAATGCCAATGCAAACTGGTGAGCTGTGTTGCTATGAGCATAACATACGGATTATTTTAGATAGAGATGCTCACTCAGTTTTAAACAATACAAAATACACTTGTCTCCTGAACCATCTCGATATTGAAATCTCAGGTGTCGAGGTGCCTGTTGAAAAACAAATGTATAATTCTATAAATAGATGTATGTATTCTCGGAACACTCAAAAACTGTTATGAACATAAATGGCTAAAAAAGTGACCCAAACAATTAGGAATTCCTAATGAAGTAAAGGGCAATCAGAAAAATGTGTGAACGTTGCTCAATGTCGTACTTTAAAACAAGATCATGGATTGACCTGGAGGTAGAATTTCACATTGAAGGTTAATAGACAGTATTGTATCATTGTTGTTGGTGATAAAGACCAAGTTACGAAAACGAAAATTGATCTGAGTTTGACACACACAAAAACAGTATGGTTTTCGTTTAATTGTAAAAACAAATTGTGAACTAGATTTAGATGTGAGTTATAATAGGACTAGGTTATCACCCTTTGTCATCACTGTTGTTGATGTTACGCATCCTTTGGATGGCGAGGTAAATCCTTTTACAGATTTCCACTAATACACCGAGTGTAACACTACAGCCTAGCACGATGAATACCCCCACCATGTTCTCAAGTTCCAGTTCTCCCGACGACTTGGCGCCCGTCTTTTCGTTACTCACAGTCGAACAGTTAGACGCAGGCTGCCACCATCTGGTAGACAAATGTACACAGTGAAAACGCAATGAAGGCGACCACCTAGTCATTGAACTGTACATAATTGTCAGCCGAACTCAATTGATACAGTAACGTTACTTAGATTCACTGTCACAAAGACTTAATATATTCAAAGCAACGCTAAGACGTCACCTGCTGCTGTTCTGAAAGGCCAACTAAAAAGCATACATCAATCGAGGTTGTATTCATGGGACATGTCCATTCACTCATTTGAATGGACATGTCCATTTGCTCATTTGAAGGGACATGTCCATTCACTCATTTGATGGGACATGTCCATTCACTCATTTGAAGGGACATTTCCATTCACTCATTTGATGGGACATGTCCATTCACTCATTTGAAGGGACATGTCCATTCACTCATTTGAAGGGACATTTCCATTCACTTATTTGATTGGACATGTCCATTCACTCATTTGAAGGGACATTTCCATTCACTCATTTGAAGGGACATTTCCATTCACTCATTTGATGGGACATGTCCATTCACTCATTTGAAGGGACATTTCCATTCACTCATTTGATGGGACATGTCCATTCACTCATTTGATGGGACATTTCCATTCACTCATTTGAAGGGACATTTCCATTCACTCATTTGATGGGACATTTCCATTCACTCATTTGATGGGACATGTCCATTCACTCATTTGAATAATAATATTTGATAAAATATTTGATGGGACATTTCCAAAACATTTCCAACATGTACATTTCCAATGACTGGGATTTCCATTCCTGTTGAATAATAATAATAATAAAATAGTCGCCAAAACTGAACATGTACAGTAATGACTGGGATCCTGTTTCCCGCCATTTTCTGCATACTTAGTTCACATGTACTTACTTAGTTGTGATAGAATCCATGATGCCATCCTCTTTCAACTTAAGGAGAGCTCGATTGATGTCGTCCTTGTACGGCGCTCCCTTAGGGAACCCTAGACTGAAGTGTTTCTCTCCAAACCTCTGGTCGATTGAATCCATCCCACAGAATCTGATCGAGGACATATAAATTGTAAATCAGAGTAGTCTATAATTTGTTAGTGTGATAGGATAGTGTTACATTTATACTGTAGTAAATGTCAATGCATTTTTTCGTGTTCGTTGCTCTACCTTGTCCTGTATAACATTTAAGTATTCACCTAAACATTCGATGATTTACGACGAAGCGTCTCATAATTTCAATTCGACAAAATAATCGACTGGAAACACATTCCTGTTGCCTTTTTCCTAAATAAAACCGTTTTCATCAGAAACATTGATAGTTTTTTTTTTAAAATATTATTTTCAATGAAGATTAAGAAAATTAAAACTTTTGTCACTGATGAGTGAAGAACCAGATTGGCTAGACCTACTTAGCAGCGTAATAATCATTGAAAAGCCCGTCATCAAGGAAGGCAAAACCAGAATTGTATTCTCCCGCCAGGACCTTGTTGACACCTTCCATCCTATCGGCTACTAGAGATTCCTTCTCTGTGAGCTTCATCACCGTCCACATCCGCTCGTAAGGATCCGCGGTCGATTGTTCAAAGAAGGCCATGAGATCGCTGTTGTTGCGAACGCCATATTTGACCTGATGTAACAGATATAGTTTGTGAAACACGAAGACTCCTTAATATGACATAGGATGGATTTTCAGAACACAATGTTTGACGTGGAGTAACAGATTTATATATAGTTAGTTCGCGAAGAATAACCTTTCTTATGAAATGTGTATCGGTATCCTTTGCAAGAAACTTTAATGTTGACAAAAGTAGTGAATCATTAACCTTGAATCTAAATATTTACATTTTGTTTTTGTTCTGGGAAGATACAACAAAAAAAGAATACCTATAAACACATTTATAACATTTAAATTCCTTAATAAGAACATTTACTTCTGATTGGCTGGCGAGACGGTCAAGGGTCTTTATTCTACTGTCGATCTGTTTGAGAGTTAAGAATGCAGCGAGATTGGCGGTATATGCTGCAGTGATGATCAGAGTACAGAACCAAAAGAAAGCCACGATGGTCCTCATCGATGTAGTCTGTGGTGAGAACTCGGTACCACCTGTAATAAAAAGCTATTTCTTTGTACAGGTGGAACAGTATTTAGCTAGGTGATTGTACAAGACACGCAAGTGAATAGCACAAATGTACCGTTAGATACAGTAGAGCTGAACAATGAATGAAACTGAACTGCATCATACAGATGTTTTGATCTTCTACGACTCGTTATTGAGGTGAAGGGCCTAAATTTTGAAGCTTACTTGACTGAGGGAAATCCGAACTTCTCGTAATAAAAAAAGATTAAAAAAAAAAATAAAACCTACACGGGGAGGTGCTCATAACCCCGTGATTTTCATATATCTGACAATTGAGGATATCGAAATAACAAATAAGAAGTACAGAGGAAACAAAATTTCGGAGTAAGATCACGTGCTTTGTTTCCAACACTCACGCGATCATATACTAACAGGATAAAGATGGTAATCAGTGTTAAGTCTAGTTCTTTACCTTGCAGTATGACATTAAGAGAGTACCACATGCTTGTAACCGCACATTTACACTGTACATGACTTTACCTTGCAGTATGACATTAAGAGAGTACCACATGCTTGTAACCACACATTTACACTGTACATGACTTTACCTTGCAGGATGACATTAAGAGAGTACCACATGCTTGTAACCGCACATTTACACTTTACATGACTTTACCTTGCAGGATGACATTAAGAGAGTACCACACACCACACATTTACACTTTACATGACTTTACCTTGCAGGATGACATTAAGAGAGTACCACATGCTTGTAACCACACATTTACACTTTACATGACTTTACCTTGCAGGATGACATTAAGAGAGTACCACATGCTTGTAACCACACATTTACACTTTACATGACTTTACCTTGCAGGATGACATTAAGGGAGTACCACATGCTTGTAACCACACATTTACACTTTACATGACTTTACCTTGCAGGATGACATTAAGAGAGTACGACATGCTTGTAACCACACATTTACACTGTACATGACTTTACCTTGCAGTATGACATTAAGAGAGTACGACATGCTTGTTACCACACATTTACACTTTACATGACTTTACCTTGCAGAATGACATTAAGAGAGTACCACATGCTTGTAACCACACATTTACACTGTACATGATTTTACCTTACAGTATGATATTAAGAGAGTACGACATGCTTGTAACCACACATTTACACTTTACATGACTTTACCTTGCAGGATGACATTAAGAGAGTACCACATGCTTGTAAGCACACATTTACACTTTACATGACTTTACCTTGCAGGATGACATCAAGAGAGTACCACATGCTTGTAACCACACATTTACACTGTACATGACTTTACCTTGCAGTATGACATTAAGAGAGTACCACATGCTTGTAACCACACATTTACACTTTACATGACTTTACCTTGCAGTATGACATTAAGAGAGTACCACATGCTTTCCTTAAGATCAAACTTCTGCTCGGCTGTCCGCTGGGTGGTGTCGTACTTGGTCATCAAAAACAGAGACAATCCCACGATAAAGAAGAAGATGGCTATCATAAACCAAAGGCCGATGTCGAAAGGCCAGAGGAACTGGAAGAAGGTTGGTTGGAGAGGCGGCCTTTTCAACAGCATGCTAACAGTTGAGGACAGGATAGTATTGGAGAAGGAGATCTGTGCCTCTCGCTTCGACTTCACGACTAGGTCACCTATCGCAATGGCGGCATCCTGATAACACCAATTATCATATTGTTCAGTCATTAATTTAGACAAATATCACTTTCATTTACATTTTGATATATATATTAGATATAAAATGACAATGTAGATTTAAATAAAATCATAACGAAATCGTAACCCAAATTATGCAAGGTGCCCTCCAGCGTGTGTATACTATCCTTTCACAAGTGTCATGTTTTCAATTTACTTTAATCTGCCTATCCTAAACTATCTGCCAAACAACTATCTACCTATCTTATATCGTTTGCTACCCATTCCATATATAACTATTCATAATGTAAGATGCCCATTTGTCTTAATCATGTATTTGTTAATGATCAATGATCTGCCGACTCTCGTATGATGTAACTGTTCTAGTCTTTGGATATTGAAATTCTATGAGCAGTAGTCTTTTCCCCAAGTAATGACATCACGATTATTCACCTCGATCATCAGTTTGTGATGGTCTTTGAATATTGAAATTCTTCATGTTAATCTTTTTTTTAAGTAAATGATATCACATTTACTCACCCCAACCATGAGTTTGTGTAGAATGTCGTCCCATTCTTTGTCCTCATTCAGTCCTGCCCACTTGCTCCTATACGCAATTATCTTATAATCAAACCCCATTAGCTTCTTCAAAGCATCCAGAACATCAATACAGAATCCTTCGTGTCTACCATTGGTCACAGAATAGAACGGCGGATCCTGAAATAACAGTCATAATAGATTTAAATTAGAGCATGGGATATTTCCATCTTTAAAACAATTTAAAATTTCTTCTCGATTTCAGCATCATTATTAGTGGCAATAAGCTGTAAAATAAGGGGTGAAAATAAACACATACACTGTCAACATTTTTGTATTGTTTATTATGTAACATACATCTTAAAAAACAACACTGACTATAAATCCAATGCTCACTGACACCACACCAACACGTGGAAATCTATCTTTCCTGTTTAGTACGAAACTTTAAACAAACTGCATGGATATCGAGCTTTGAAATAATGTGTTCGTGACCTTGTTGCCATGATGCAAATCAGTCTTACCTTTTTCGTAATGACGGTAAAGTTCATGCCCTTAAGACTTGTCTTTATATCTTTTACTGATTTTTGTTGCGTTCCCTCGCCAACAGGGGTATACACAGGTTTGTCAAGGAAGGTGCAGTTCCCGATCTACGCGACATAAAAATATGTTTAAAACATGTTTAATGTGTGTGTCCTTCCTTATTCCTTTCTTTCATATCGTTTATTTCCCTCTAAAACATGGGTTGATTTTTAATATGTTTCTGCTGCAAAGCTCACATTTCAACAACACAAATAATTGATAATCAGCAAATGCATTCAGAATGATTGCATACAATAGCAAAGGCATATGCCATACCATACTCTTACTATACCCTTAGTATACTCTTACTTACTATACTCTTACTTACTATACCCTTACTTACTATACTCTTACTATACCCTTACTATACTACTCTTACTATACTATATACCCTTACTATACTTTACTATACTCTTACTACTACTCTTACTATACTCTTACTACTATACCCTTACTATACTTACTATATACTCTTACTTACTATACTTACTATACTATACCTCTTACTATACTATACTCTTACTATACTCTTACTATACTCTTACTTACTATACCCTTACTTACTACTACTCTTACTATACTATACTTTACTTACTACTACTCTTACTATACTCTTACTTACTATACTCTTATACTTATACCCTTACTATACTCTTACTTACTATACTCTTACTATACTCTTACTTACTATACCCTTACTATACTCTTACTTACTATACTCTTACTTACTATACTCTTACTTACTATACTCTTACTATACTCTTACTTACTATACCCTTACTTACTTTACTTACTATACTCTTACTTACTACTATACTTACTATACTCTTACTTACTACTCTTACTTACTACTCTTACTTACCCTTACTATACTCTTACTTACTATACTCTTACTTACTATACTCTTACTATACTTACTTACTATACTCTATACCCTTATACTCTTACTATACTCTTACTTACTACTATACCCTTACTATACTTACTATACTCTTACTTACTATACTCTTACTTACTACTCTTACTTACTATACTCTTACTTACTATACCCTTACTATACTCTTACTATACTCTTACTTACTATACTCTTACTTACTACTTTACTATACTCTTACTATACTCTTACTTACTATACTCTATACTCTTACTATACTCTTACTTACTATACTCTTACTTACTATACCCTTACTATACTCTTACTATACTTACTTACTCTTACTACTACTCTTACTTACTATACTCTTACTATACTCTTACTATACTCTTACTTACTATACTATACTTTACTATACCCTTACTATACTCTTACTTACTACTATACTCTTACTTACTATACCCTTACTATACTCTTACTATACTCTTACTTACTATACTTACTATACTTACTATACTCTTACTATACTCTTACTTACTATACTCTTACTTACTACTCTTACTATACCCTTACTATACTCTTACTATACTCTTACTATACTTACTATACTCTTACTTACTATACTCTATACTCTTACTATATACTCTTACTATACTATTACTTACTATACTCTTACTATACCCTTACTATACTCTTACTTACTATACTCTTACTTACTATACTCTTACTTACTATACCTTACTTACTATACTCTTACTTACTATACTCTTACTATACTATACTATACTTACTATACTCTTACTATACTCTTACTATACTCTTACTTACTATACTCTTACTATACCCTTACTATACTCTTACTATACTACTACCCTTACTATACTCTTACTTACTATACCCTTACTATACTTTACTTACTATACTCTTACTATACCCTTACTATACTCTTACTTCTTACTATACTCTTACTTACTATACTACTATACTCTTACTTACTATACTCTTACTATACTCTTACTTACTATACTCTTACTATACTTACTTACTATACTCTACTTACTTACTTTACTATACTCTTACTTACTATACTTTACTATACTCTTACTATACTCTTACTTACTATACTCTTACTATACTCTTACTTACTATACTCTTACTATACTCTTACTTACTATACTCTTACTACACTCTTACTTACTATACTCTTACTACACTCTTACTATACTCTTACTTACTATACTCTCTATTTTTACTATACTCTTACTTACTATACTCTTACTATACTCTTACTATACTCTTACTTACTCTACTCTTACTTACTATACTCTTACTATACCCTTACTATACTCTTACTTACTATACTCTTACTTACTATACTCTTACTATACTCTTACTATACTCTTACTTACTATACTCTTACTACACTCTTACTTACTATACTCTTACTATACTCTTACTTACTATACTCTTACTTACTATACTCTTACTATACTACTTACTATACCCTTACTACTATACTCTTACTTACTCTTATACTCTTACTATACCCTTACTATACTCTTAGTATACTCTTACTTACTATACTCTTACTTACTATACTCTTACTATACCTCTTACTTACTATACTCTTACTTACTATACTCTTACTTTACTCTTACTTACTATACTCTTACTTACTATACTCTTACTTTACTCTTACTTACTATACTCTTACTTTACTCTTACTATACTCTTACTTACTATACTCTTACTACACTCTTACTTACTATACTCTTACTATACTCTTACTTACTATACTCTTACTATACTCTTACTTACTATACTCTTACTTTACTCTTACTTACTATACTCTTACTTACTATACTCTTACTATACTCTTACTATACTCTTACTTACTATACTCTTACTTACTATACTCTTACTTACTATACTCTTACTTACTATGCTCTTACTATACTCTTACTTACTCTTACTATACTCTTACTTACTATACTCTTACTATACTCTTACTTACTATACTCTTACTATACTCTTACTTACTATACTCTTACTATACCTCTTACTTACTATACTCTTACTTACTATACTCTTACTTACTATACTCTATACTCTTACTATACTCTTACTATACTCTTACTATACTCTTACTTACTATACTCTTACTATACTCTTACTTACTATACTCTTACTTACTATTACTATACTCTTACTTACTATACTCTTACTATACTCTTACTTACTATACTCTTACTTACTATACTCTTAGTATACTATTACTTACTATACTCTTACTTACTCTTACTATACCCTTACTTTCTACTCTTACTATACTCTTACTTACTATACTCTTACTTACTATACTCTTACTTATACTCTTACTTACTATACTCTCTACTATACTCTTACTTACTATACTCTTACTATACTCTTACTTACTATACTCTTACTATACTCTTACTTACTATACTCTTACTTACTACTATACTCTTACTTACTACTCTTACTATACTCTTACTTACTATACTCTTACTATACCCTTACTTACTACTATACTCTTACTTACTATACTCTTACTTACTATACTCTTACTATACTCTTACTACTATACTCTTACTATACTCTTACTTACTATACTCTTACTATACTCTTACTTACTATACTCTTACTTACTACTACTACTCTTACTATACTCTTACTTACTATACTCTTACTATACTTACTATACTCTTACTATACTCTTACTTACTATACTCTTACTTACTATACTCTTACTTACTATACTCTTTACTATACTCTTACTATACTCTTACTTACTATACTCTTACTATACTCTTACTTACTATACTCTTACTTACTTACTATACTCTTACTACTCTTACTTACTATACTTTACTATACTATTACTTACTTACTTACTATACTCTTACTATACTCTTACTTACTATACTCTTACTTATACTCTTACTTACTATACTCTTACTATACTCTTACTTACTATACTCTTACTATACTCTTACTCTTACTTACTATACTTTACTATACTCTTACTTACTCTTACTATACTCTTACTTACTATACTCTTACTTACTATACTCTTACTATACTCTTACTTACTATACTCTTACTATACCCTTACTATACTCTTACTTACTATACTCTTACTATACCTCTTACTTACTATACTCTTACTTACTATACTCTTACTATACTACTCTTACTATACTCTTACTTACTATACTCTTACTCTCTTACTTACTATACTCTACTCTTACTATACCTCTTACTTACTATACTCTTACTTACTATACTCTTACTATACTCTTACTTACTATACTCTTACTTACTATACTCTTACTATACTCTTACTTACTATACTCTTACTTACTATACTCTTACTATACTCTTACTATACTTTACTACTACTCTTACTTACTATACTCTTACTATACTTTACTTACTATACTCTTACTATACTCTTACTTACTATACTCTTACTATACTCTTACTACTCTTACTATACTATACTATACTCTTACTTACTCTTATACTCTTACTTACTATACTCTTACTTATACTCTTACTTACTACTACTATTACTCTTTATACTTACTATACTCTTACTTACTATACTCTTACTCTTACTTACTATACTCTTACTATACTCTTACTATACTATACTCTTACTTATACTCTTACTTACTACTCTTACTATACTTTACTTACTATACTCTTACTATACTCTTACTTACTATACTCTTACTATACCTCTTACTTACTATACTCTTACTTACTATACTCTTACTTATACTTTACTATACTCTTACTTACTACTCTTACTACACTCTTACTTACTACACTACTTACTATACTTTACTTACTATACCCTTACTTACTATACTCTTACTATACTCTTACTATACCCTTACTATACTCTTACTACTATTACCATACTCAGTACCTTTCACTAGTTTCAGTATATTGTTACATCATGTTTTCATCTTCCGTTACTTTTCCTTGTGCACCCAAGTTTGGCTTTGATGCTTGTTTAATGGCAATTTCAATGACAGTTGTGACCTTCCATTACTAGTTAACTTTCGAATCCCGATTGGGTAAACATTGGAGGCAAACTGAATGTGTTTATACTCATGAACTAGACAATAACACAATTATTATTATTGTTATTTATTATTTTTATTATATATGATGCACATTTCGTTAATTTCCAGGTACTCAAGTGGAACCATCATATCTCAGTTTGAGTCTGAATTAAGGTTCGGTGGTTTTACCTTGATATTGTCTTTGATGGTTTCGTTGTTGATGTGACTTAGCACGGCCATTGAGTAGCTGGTGCGGATACGACTGCGACCGTCCTCGGCAACGCCCCACTTGTACTGTCCCAGTGCACCTACATAGGTATCAGCCTTAGAAATAAACACATTGGAATACTCGTCAGTCTTCATATGTTATATATGGTAACACAAATATTCTCATAGAGAAAATATCACAAACAACCAAGACAAGGAAACATCGTCAATATACCATCAAATTAATCAGAGATATCCGCATGATAATATACTTGACAGACATTACTCAACTTTTTCAGTTTTGCAGTTAAATGAATTGTCTCCTTGTTATAAATCTGATTTTGATATTTTCGAACCACTTCAAAGAAATGTCTCGTCTTGTTCAACTTGAAATACATGGTTTGATATCTGAAACATTTAACAACTATAAAGACTCTAATCAATAATCGAAGGTCTAGAAAATGAACATATATTCTAGAGATATGTCTCTGGAGGAGGTGAAAAGAAAAACGCGTCTGATGTATAGTATCCCCAGAGATTGATACAGATATCTCTGGAGGAGGTGAAGAGAAAAACGCGTCTGATGTACAGTATCCACAGAGATTGATACATATATCTCTGGAGGAGGTGAAGAGAAAAACGCGTCTGATGTACAGTATCCCCAGAGATTGATACATATATCTCTGGAGGAGGTGAAGAGAAAAACGCGTCTGATGTACAGTATCCCCAGAGATTGATACAGATATCTCTGGAGGAGGTGAAGAGAAAAACGCGTCTGATGTACAGTATCCCCAGAGATTGATACATATATCTCTGGAGGAGGTGAAGAGAAAAACGCGTCTGATGTATAGTATCCCCAGAGATTGATACATATATCTCTGGAGGAGGTGAAGAGAAAAACGCGTCTGATGTACAGTATCCCCAGAAATTGATACAGATATCTCTGGAGGAGGTGAAGAGATAAACGCGTCTGATGTACAGTATCCCCAGAAATTGATACATATATCTCTGGAGGAGGTGAAGAGATAAACGCGTCTGATGTACAGTATCCCCAGAGATTGATACAGATATCTCTGGAGGAGGTGAAGAGAAAAACGCGTCTGATGTACAGTATCCCCAGAGATTGATACATATATCTCTGGAGGAGGTGAAGAGATAAACGCGTCTGATGTACAGTATCCCCAGAGATTGATACATATATCTCTGGAGGAGGTGAAGAGAAAAACGCGTCTGATGTACAGTATCCCCAGAGATTGATACATATATCTCTGGAGGAGGTGAAGAGAAAAACGCGTCTGATGTACAGTATCCCCAGAGATTGATACATATATCTCTGGAGGAGGTGAAGAGAAAAACGCGTCTGATGTACAGTATCCCCAGAGATTGATACAGATATCTCTGGAGGAGGTGAAGAGATAAACGCGTCTGATGTACAGTATCCCCAGAGATTGATACAGATATCTCTGGAGGAGGTGAAGAGAAAAACGCGTCTGATGTACAGTATCCCCAGAGATTGATACATATATCTCTGGAGGAGGTGAAGAGAAAAACGCGTCTGATGTACAGTATCCCCAGAGATTGATACAGATATCTCTGGAGGAGGTAAAGAGAAAAACGCGTCTGATGTACAGTATCCCCAGATATTGATACAGATATCTCTGGAGGAGGTGAAGAGAAAACCGCGTCTGATGTACAGTATCCCCAGAGATTGATACATATATCTCTGGAGGAGGTGAAGAGATAAACGCGTCTGATGTACAGTATCCCCAGATATTGATACAGATATCTCTGGAGGAGGTGAAGAGAAAACCGCGTCTGATGTACAGTATCCCCAGAGATTGATACATATATCTCTGGAGGAGGTGAAGAGATAAACGCGTCTGATGTACAGTATCCCCAGAGATTGATACATATATCTCTGGAGGAGGTGAAGAGATAAACGCGTCTGATGTACAGTATCCCCAGAGATTGATACAGATATCTCTGGAGGAGGTGAAGAGATAAACGCGTCTGATGTACAGTATCCCCAGAGATTGATACAGATATCTCTGGAGGAGGTGAAGAGATAAACGCGTCTGATGTACAGTATCCCCAGAGATTGATACAGATATCTCTGGAGGAGGTGAAGAGAAAAACGCGTCTGATGTACAGTATCCCCAGAGATTGATACAGATATCTCTGGAGGAGGTGAAAAGAAAAACGCGTCTGATGTACAGTATCCCCAGAGATTGATACATATATCTCTGGAGGAGGTGAAAAGAAAAACGCGTCTGATGTACAGTATCCCCAGAGATTGATACATATATCTCTGGAGGAGGTGAAGAGAAAAACGCGTCTGATGTACAGTATCCCCAGAGATTGATACAGATATCTCTGGAGGAGGTGAAGAGATAAACGCGTCTGATGTACAGTATCCCCAGAGATTGATACAGATATCTCTGGAGGAGGTGAAGAGAAAAACGCGTCTGATGTACAGTATCCCCAGAGATTGATACATATATCTCTGGAGGAGGTGAAGAGAAAAACGCGTCTGATGTACAGTATCCCCAGAGATTGATACAGATATCTCTGGAGGAGGTAAAGAGAAAAACGTGTCTGATGTACAGTATCCCCAGAGATTGATACAGATATCTCTGGAGGAGGTGAAGAGAAAAACGCGTCTGATGTACAGTATCCCCAGATATTGATACAGATATCTCTGGAGGAGGTGAAGAGAAAACCGCGTCTGATGTACAGTATCCCCAGAGATTGATACAGATATCTCTGGAGGAGGTAAAGAGAAAAACGCGTCTGATGTACAGTATCCCCAGATATTGATACAGATATCTCTGGAGGAGGTGAAGAGAAAACCGCGTCTGATGTACAGTATCCCCAGAGATTGATACATATATCTCTGGAGGAGGTGAAGAGATAAACGCGTCTGATGTACAGTATCCCCAGATATTGATACAGATATCTCTGGAGGAGGTGAAGAGAAAACCGCGTCTGATGTACAGTATCCCCAGAGATTGATACATATATCTCTGGAGGAGGTGAAGAGATAAACGCGTCTGATGTACAGTATCCCCAGAGATTGATACATATATTTCTGGAGGAGGTGAAGAGATAAACGCGTCTGATGTACAGTTTCCCCAGAGATTGATACAGATATCTCTGGAGGAGGTGAAGAGATAAACGCGTCTGATGTACAGTATCCCCAGAGATTGATACAGATATCTCTGGAGGAGGTGAAGAGATAAACGCGTCTGATGTACAGTATCCCCAGAGATTGATACAGATATCTCTGGAGGAGGTGAAAAGAAAAACGCGTCTGATGTACAGTATCCCCAGAGATTGATACAGATATCTCTGGAGGAGGTGAAAAGAAAAACGCGTCTGATGTACAGTATCCCCAGAGATTGATACAGATATCTCTGGAGGAGGTGAAAAGAAAAACGCGTCTGATGTACAGTATCCCCAGAGATTGATACATATATCTCTGGAGGAGGTGAAGAGATAAACGCGTCTGATGTACAGTATCCCCAGAGATTGATACATATATCTCTGGAGGAGGTGAAGAGAAAAACGCGTCTGATGTAGAGTTTCCCTAGAGATTGATACATATATCTCTGGAGGAGGTGAAGAGATAAACGCGTCTGATGTACAGTATCCCCAGAGATTGATACATATATCTCTGGAGGAGGTGAAGAGAAAAACGCGTCTGATGTAGAGTTTCCCTAGAGATTGATACATATATCTCTGGAGGAGGTGAAGAGAAAACCGCGTCTGATGTACAGTATCCCCAGAGATTGATATAGATATCTCTGGAGGAGGTGAAGAGATAAACGCGTCTGATGTACAGTATCCCCAGAGATTGATACAGATATCAGATACTGCTTTGTCGATCTCACTGGGATTTATTGCACGTGTTCTATGTTCGGAAATGCGTGTAAATCTTTCATTCATTCATATTTTTTGGATTTTGAACTTACACTGTTGACATATCTTTGCTTTTATAAAGATGGGATCAAATTATGATGTGTTACATACTACTTGAAATTATTTACCTTATCATCAAAAGCCTCGTTCAACATTTTTTGATTCATCGTCTGGTTTTTGAGAGGCTGGCTATCGCAGTAAGATTCGCTTTGTCCCCGGCGGAGACAGTGTCGCAGTATAGACACAACGTCCACTAGAAGTCCCAGACTTAGGCGTGACCGGTTCTGGAATTGTTCTGTAGGAGAAATTGTTAAACATTACAATGGGCGCAGTTTTTAATACTTAATTAGTTCCAGCATCAAGACGATCGCTTTTCCCATACACATTTGAACAACTTAAATTGAGGCAAAACAATGACTTAACAGGGATGTCAAATGGTCACCGACTGCCTTTTGTAAATTAGATAGTAAATATAAGACAAGTCTTGATCTTTTCTTGATTTTTATAAACTTCATATTTTCTTCAGAAACGTTACTAACATTGTGCACTGATATAGAAATAAGTAGATAAATAAATGAAGTATTTGCATGTGACATTATAAAGCACCTTTAGTCTATGGTTATGTTTTTAAGAAATTGATTACACAGATATTTTCAGGCGAATGTTCCGGCGATGAATGTGTTTATATATGACTATATAAGGAATAGTCAATATTTTAACATATGGAAAGACTGTAGTTTTTAAAAGTTTTAACTTCATATTAATGTGATCAATTTTATCAAATTCTCGAAAATGAAATTTATAGCCTTGAATGTAACAATATAGAAAATATCAATTAATTTGATAGTTGACCAATTAAACATTTAGCCCAATATTTGACTTCACAAAATACATGAAAAACTATAATATCATGAACGTTAATTGCTTCACAAAAAGGCAAATACAACTAGAATAACAGACACAACTTAATTGATAACAATGACAACTAGATAAGTAAACACAAAAACACAGTTAACAAATACATAGATAGAGTAACGAAACAGAAGCACAAATACTTGTTATAAGCAACAAAATGATGTCCCTGACAATGAAAACAGGAAAACAAAGACATTAAATGATAATTACAAAGTTAATCTCATTAAAACATTGATTATTCTACCTTCTTGATAAAGACTCGAAGGGATAGCTCCCGCGTTCAACAGTTGTATTCCATAGAGCGAGACGGTTTCCTTTAGGTGTAATGTCACATCAGAGAAATCCTGGTGAAAAGAATAAATAAAATATTTCATAGATATATAGGATTTTATTGTCAAAAAATGATTTTATACCGATAAACTGTGACTTCCGGTTCTGGATATTTGTAATATCAGATATGGAAGTGTCGATAGCTGAATAATAAAGGATAACGCTGCTTCTCTAAAAAAAAAACATGGCTACCATGCAGTAAGATAACAGTAAAATACATAATAAAAATGTGTTACCATATTTTATCTGATTATCAAAATATAAATGTCATTATTTATTATGTCCAGTATATGCATAACAAAAAAACTTGCCCCATTCTAAAATAATTTTAGCCGTAAAGTCATATCATTCTCGGAATATCAACTAAATTAAACAAAAACAACGAAATGCACAATTTTGTTTGAAACGGTCCCTTCGCATGTGTTTAGCCGATGAAAACGTTCTTTTCAACCATTGATGACGTAGACGGTCCGCCCACTTTCCATTCAAGTTGTCAATAGATTCGGACCTGGGAAAGGCTTAAAATGTTTGTCTGCATGGATTATCTGCCTAAATTGTTGTTTTTATCTATTGATAGTGTCCATGCCTAAAATGAGTCATGTCGATCTCAGAATTGTTAAGGTATTTATTCATTAAAGTAGATCGACAAAACAACAGACAATGTTCAGAGTCATCGACAAGAGAAAGTGACGAGAGATTCATCCGAAGTTGTCAGTGTGTTTTTTTCAAATGAAGATTGGAATTTCCATGCCATTCTTTATAATTTTCCAATGATTGTTACGAGACAATGCCATATGATATAACTTCATTCAACTATTATTATCTCTGATCTCTGGGTCGAGAGTATCATCTACTGTAACGGTTATCGTCTTCATCGACATTCTGAAACTATCTCACTTAAAGCGGAGAAAAGTGAAACCGTATATATCATCATCGCCATATATGGACTATCGACAGAATTTATGAGTATATTGGGGATTAGATCATCGTCCATTTGAAAAACGCTTTATATATCCATTATTTCAGAATATATCATCAAGCGGATTTTACTACATCAAAATTTTAAACATGAAAGAGAGCTATCAATTATGATATTTAGTAATTCTTTACTTCTGTATATATCTATCTCCATTCATTCACTCACTCATTCATTCGTCCGTCCAGTTACCCAACCTTACATCCATGCACACATTCATACATGCACACATACATTTTTTTTGCGTAACATAGCGTATTTAAATGTCCTGAACACTTTTCAAGCGCCTTCTAGGAATTAAATTTTTTAAAATATTAACCAAGACTATTGATAAAAAAAACGATGTGGTTTGTGGACAACCCCGAAAACGCGCGATTTCCAAGTGGGGCGTGATTCGATATTGATGGCCGATTATGAAGACGCCAAGTTTTCGATCAAATCAATCGAGCAGGAAAGTAATACATTGACCTACAATCATATTGTCCTGTGGGACACAATCAAACAAAACATTGTCTATGTTCAATATAAATAGCTCTGGATCTACGTCTGTGAAATGTCACGGCGAACTGGTCCGTCACTAATAACACATAATTTACAAGACCAGTTGTTGCATCTTAGCTCCCTTGATAACTGTCACTTGTAACGTTGTCAACATCTGACAGATATTGGATGTATATTTTTATACAATATTGTCAAAATACATAAATAATTGATACATTAAAACACGACATACCCATTCTCTCCACTGATCATACAGCGATTTTTTTTTCAGTAGCATAAGTCAAGTCATTCATCCATAAACATCCTACCTACTCATTAACATCCTAACTACACATAAACATCCTAAACATCCTACCTACACATTTACGAGAGAAATAAACCATTTCTGTACTTCACATACATGTCAATAACATATGCTAAGGCCAATATACCATTTTTATCAAACATTCTGATAACTAGCCATTTAAGTGTATTCTTATAATGAAACTCTGTATTCTGAAACATTGTTAAAACATAGGTGGCGATCGCACTATTCAGTCTAATTAAAACCTTGCCCTGGGATAACATCATCTAAGCCTAACTCAGGACTTGACGTTTAGTTTGTTTCGTGATCCAAGGTCCAAATATTTCATTTCGTACTATATACTTCGTTATGTCGAAGTTATCGAGTATATCGTGGTTCTAGATTGTACAAAAGACATTCAAGAGAACAGCACCTTTCCATAATCTAGAGTGAGGCACAGAAGAGCCAAACAATGAATTAAACTACATCATACAGCTGTTTCGTCCTTCTAGGACTCGTCAATGATGCTACGTCATATAGCTGTTTCGTCCTTCTAGGACTCCTCGGTGATGCTACATCATACCGCTGTTTCGTCCTTCTAGGACTCGTCAATAATACTATATCATACAGCTGTTTCGTCCTTCTAGGACTCCTCGGTGATGCTACATCATACCGCTGTTTCGTCCTTCTAGGACTCGTCAATGATGCTACATCATACAGCTGTTTCGTCCTTCTAGGACTCGTCAATAATACTATATCATACAGCTGTTTCGTCCTTCTAAGACTCGTCAGTGATGCTACATCATACAGCTGTTTCGTCCTTCTAGGACTCCTCAGTGATGCTACATCATACAGCTGTTTCGTCCTTCTAGGACTCGTCAGTGATGCTTAGGGCCTAAAATTTATAGTCTTGAAGGCGTCTAAGGAAAACCCAAAGTAATCAAAAGAAAAGTCAAAATCTAGACGGGAAGGTGCAGCAGCCCCATCATAAGATAAATTTCATCATTTTCACACATCAGATAATGGTAGAACAGCGTCAAGTACATGTGTATTTTCTGAACCGTGCCACTATTCGAGTGATTTTAAACGTGGCAAACAGGTTACGGAAAACCTCTGGGACGAAAAAATTCGCAAGCAGTGTCTACCACCTGCTGTCTTAAAGATTATACAAAAGACACACAATTAAATAGCACCTTTTTATAATTTAGAGTGAGATACAGAAGAGCCAAGACAAAGAATTAAACATTTTAAGATAATAAAACTGTTACATTTTTTGTCATTTGGAAGAAAATGTACTATTGTAGGATGTACTGATAAAATCACAGTTCTTCTACAGGAGTATATTGTTGATATACTTACCAGGTAGGTGATGAACCAGCTCCTAGAGTAATGTAGAAGGTGATGTTCTTCAGCCTATGTGTTAAAGAGAATGTACATATTGTAAATTTTAACATTCTTGTGATACATAAAATGGACTTAATATTTTTAGTAATCTAAGTTTTTTGTCTAACTTACAATGACCCAAAATGCAGACATCCTAACTTCCTACCTAAACAGACAATGGCATTAAAACGATCTGAATATAAAAGTCCTTTATATATCGAGGGTATTGTAATACTTCATTCCTGGATATAATGATAAAGATTTAATGACTTGAAGATAATGGAAATCAAAACCTTGTTCAGAAAATTCTAAATAAAATATGTAAGTTCATTTGCATGTTTGTACTTTTTAATAAATTATGATGCATGACCTATGGTCAAATATGTCATTTACGACCAATATAGAAGACATTAAAAAAACATGATAAGGAATTTAGAAATATTATCATATCTACCATCAACCATGAATTTCTATATATGAAATTGTTTTAAAGGTATGAGAGTGTTAGTGTGTGATATGGTGTTAGATACAGCCCCCAAATCTGTGACTACAGCACCCAAGTCAATGACTACAGCCCCTAAGTCTGTGATTACAGCCCCTAAATCTGTGATTACAGCCCCTAAGTCTGTGACAACAGCCCCGAAGTCTGTGACAACAGCCCCTAAGTCAGTGACTACAGCCCCTAAGTTAGTGACTACAGCCCCTACGTCAGTGACTACAGCCCCTAAGTCAGTGACTACAGCCCCTAAATCTCTGACTACAGCCCCTTAGTCTGTGACGTAGCATGCCATCAAGTGATGCTCGATCATTTGTCGTATTGATCTCAGCTATCCCCATCGGCTTCAGCAACATGCAACGTCTGTCCAATTTTTATAATTCGGTTAGTTGTGATTTCCCTATGGAGCCCAGACTTGGGATATGTAGCCTTGTATGTACATCCCAATGCATGTGGCATATTGTATAGGTTGGCACTCCGTCCAACTAGTTTATTGTTTATTGCACCTAAATAGATTGCTTGTAATAACTTTGCAATTTACATCTCGTCCTGGTCACCATTTTTGCTGAATTGAAAATACGCCTCTTTTCAACACCGGATTAAATAACAACCCCGCTTTTCTGTATTGTAAATGTCAATGCAAAGCGACATCGTGAAAACACTTTTGTGTTTTAATATGTTAATTTTTCTGGTAATGTTGTCCGCTCATGGTGATAAGCTGACCAACCTAAAGCAATAGTTGTCTTTCGGGTACAATAATACTTGTATTGACGATATTATATAAATAAGGCACGAGACTGTCTGACGATGTACTAATAATGATATACAATTTTATGAATTATTCACAAGTAAACAATTAGTACTAAGGATATACCGGCGTACAGAAATGGGCTGATTACTAAATCTTGTGATGTAGAAAATCACAATAGGACAGGTAAGCATGCCGAAATGCCTATTTCAGTCTTCATTACAATCTTCAAAACCGCGCGTAACGGAATCACCATTTTTGGTGTTACAAAGTGTTACGTTTTGCCAAGGTTCCGGTATTTTGCCTTAGTTTGATTGAGTTTGGGTCATAATTTTGTTGAAATGTTGGTATCTTCTTGATGTCTTTTAATTGATTTTGAGTTTGAATTAATATTCTGTTGGGATGTTGTTCAAGCATTCATAGATATCTGAACCATTTCTGAATTTTGTACAAAAGACAAAAGTTGATATATCACCTTTCAATGCAAATCTAGAATCACAACGAAGCAATGAACTAGAACTAGATCGTACAACTTTGTCCCTGTAGGGTCCGTCGGTATTGTTTAACATGACCTCAATATGTTTATCTTTACCGCTGTGATGACGTGCTGCACGACCTCCTTGTCCATCGAGTGAAGGATAAACTGTCGCATCTGTGCCTCGCGGAGCTGGGTCATCGTCTGTCTCAACTCCTGGTTGTTTCCATTCTGTATGTTGGATGGCAGTAAAATAGGCCAAGCAAATATGTCTCTGTTTCCGAGAGCCAAAACAGGAGAGAAGTCATCTAAAAAAAAATCAGGCAAATAAATTTGTAATTTTGATAAACTTTAAAGTGAAAATAAAATGTCCTTTTCTGAAACTAAACTCTAAGGATGAAAAACTGAAAATAAAACGAAGACCGCATCTTGTTATCTTATTTATCTATTAGCATATCTTATCAAAGCGCATGTATTCTGGAAAATATTTACTGGACAATGATTAAATCACAACAGTTATATAGACGAGTATAAACTGAGAGGAATAACAAACAAAACAGGGAATTATTAAAACATCCTTTTTCTGCATAAAAAAGACAATGAGCGATAGATAATGTCAGCTTGCTTTAATGAATTGAAGTGAAATCCGCGAGAGAAACATTGCCTATATTTTCGAAAGGTCTGTATACGTTGCATATCAAAAGTAATTTTCACATATAATTTACATACCATTACTGTGTGGCGGTACACGACCTACCCTGTGATAAAAAGGCGACTTTGGTCCAGCCCAAGCTGTGTACAATCTCGGCAACAGCACTGGAGAGTGATTTTGTATCGGGGAGGACTGGAAGAGCTCTGTCAGATTTTTCCTGACTTTCACTCGATGACGTCACCAAATGGATTTGTCGTTTGATGACATACTCCATTGAGGTGAATACATCAATGAATGGCCCGACAGCGATCACTGTGTCCTTTTTTGCAAATATCGCCAAGGCTGTAAACACATGAAACATCACTCCGAATAAAATTTGTGACGTTGATTCATATACCTTTGTATAACGCTCCCTCTATAGGTTTTACTAAAATGTAGACGATAAAATACGTCAATCAATAAAAATCTGCTTGCTTAATTTTGATTTAATTCTCGAGATATTCATCTTAAACAATACTATGTTGTTTATCGTTTCTCCTGAATCTTTTTATTATATATATCGACACGTATTTGTGATTGAATTACTAGTAATGTGGTACGCATACCTTTCTCTAGACTTTGATAGACAGTAGATCCATTGCTATTGTCATATTCGACAGGCGAGAACCGAACCTTGCAGTAATCCGTATGTCCGGATTGTAGTACGTCCACGACTTTCTGATAATCTTCTACCATCGTCTCCCCCTTTCTACCTACCACAGCTGTAAAAAAAAAAAAAAAAACTTTTAATGCTATTTCGGAAAAATCGAATGCGTTCCGAATAATTTCTATCAGGAACCTCACATTCCTAATTGTATATGATTAGGGGATAGGTTTGCTGGGATATGAAATCACCATAATGTACGTCATAAACACCGCAGATATTCATTGGTTTGTAAAAGAAATTAGCAATAGTTAGATATTATTTAAATAACCATGTAGGGTAATTGTTAATCTTCCTGTGATGTATCCGGGTAAGTCACAGTCATTGACGTCATTGATATTTGTCATCCAGGCTACAGACGAAAAAGATGGCGGGAAATGCCGCATTTTTAACGATGAGATGCTGTGTTATATCTCAAGAGAACTTTGAAAAATGTTTCATATCTGCAAATTTTTTGTCTTATCTTGAAACCGTTACAAACCTTATTTGCATTTTAAAAGACAAATTTTAATGGTATTCAGGATATTTGATCTTCTTAACGCAAACCATTTCTAGAATTTTAATGTTCAATGACTTTCTGAATGCCCAATTTAATAACGTTGTTATTTTCAATAATTCATTACCGTGTAGCAAGTAATCCACAAAGCCACGCCCACAGTGTGTGTTGTATATTTTGTACAAATATGATGTATACAAGTGTAAATGAAAGATTACAAGATTCAGCTAAACTGAAATAAATCAAGGTTGCAGTTTTCATTGGGGTGATAGTGTTTAAAAGAAAATTAATAACATCATCACTTTGTAATGAAAATGAAATACCTCTTTTCAAAAGAAAAAAAAAAACATATGATGCGCGGAAATGGAGAATACAAACTGACAATATGTAGTCGTCACGGTTCTTCCCGGGATAATACTTTTGAAAAATATGTTACAAGAGATTATTGACAGAATTAAAACTGGGTATAAAGCTGTTATATGTTAAATAGCCGTCAACAATACATCCTTTTATTGTCAGATAGTAACAAAACACAGCGGAATACCGTTCGCAGAGGGACGACATACAACGCATGGTTTTGGGAGTTTGGGAGGTGGATTGAACTATAAGAAATGTTTAAATTATCGCCATCTCATCCATAAATCATCTTTATCATTATATGCTCTCTGCTTGCCTAGATGCCGTGCGGTTTCCTTTTGATGTTGAGAGCATGACATTCCTGATATTACGTATATTTATATGACGTATGTCGTCGTTGAAGGAAAAAGGTTTTAAGATTTAATTGTTTTTTCCTCCTATCCATCTTTCCATTTCCTATTGTGCCCTCTTCTCAATGATTAAAAATGATTTTTTAAAAAATCTAATTTCGTATTTTACTGCTTAATTCCTTAACATGATCAGTGCCTTATCATATTTTTCTAAAAATAGCCATTGTATTTTAAATAAATTATCTTAAATTAATCCGGAGTAAAACGATGAAAAACCAAGTTGAATGTTTAGGTAAATAAATCGTCTTGTAAACAACATAACAAAGCTCCATTAAAAATTAATTGTCACGTAGGACATTCATTAAATATTCTAAGCCATACGTGAATACCAGTTTGATGAAATCCGTGTTTCAGTCAAATGTCCCATACAAATGAGCACACACAATTAGTTGTTGACAATGGACAATGGATGTTTGAAAAGAACTCTATTTGGGATACGTGGTATAAGATTACAGTCGTGTCATTTAATGGTTTAGGCCTGTCATAATATATGGCATTGCCGTGAATGTCGAAATGAGAAGTTTACGTTTTGTACACAACAAAATTCAACATTACGCAATTGAAAATATCAATTATTGAATAGATTACGATATCCAATTTCCTTTAAAAAAATCTGTCGGAGATAATTACCACATTCAGAACTTCTATTCCGAACTCTCCTGCGAATAAACATAAAATATCGCCAAAGAATTTTCTGGAAGCAAGTTTATGTCGTTACGTATTTTTGTATATGTGATTTCAAAGTTAACAGGTAATCAGAAGCAGGATATGAACACACAAACTATCAAATGGACGGCAACTGAAACACCGTCATGTATTAACACAATGTCGGCTTTGATGCGGAAAGTTTTCTCTTATATTGAAAGTTTAATGGTCAGAAATGATTGGGATCTCATTATGAGGCATGTCAGCTTTATAAAATGAAGATTGACAATTACACATCAATTAAAGTAATGCCAGTACTGTTTGCATTCGAGATCACAGGACAAATTCCATTCATGTCGTAGTGTGTCATATTGGGTTTTAAACCACAGAACAATGATATGGCACAAATGCTCTTTCCAGAGTGATAGCGTAACAACCGCCCTGGCTAGATCTCGGGGTGCCGTAAGTGCAAGTCAAACAATATTATTTCTAAATCATATCTGTTTTCTGTCCAGTTCTGTCGTTAGTGTTTGATGTGATTGCTTTCATTTTTATTATTTATCTCTTAGTTTAATCACTTAGCAATCATTGTACAACTAACACCAAAATCATTTGGTTATAAATGACAAAATGAAATCTAATTTGATATGTAACTAAGGTAATATAAAGGGTTTTGAACACGATGTTGAAGGAGGAGTGCTAATTTGGGCCTTCTGGTGGCCATGACGAATACTTTTTATTTTTTGTCGATTAAAAACTTGAGGTCAGACGGTAATGACATGACATTAATCAAAGGTCAACTCAAGGCCGTTCAGTTGTTATAGGGGGGGGGGGCAAGTGGGGGATCAAATTCATAATTATTGCAATAAATATCAAACTAAAACATTTTTTTTAAAGTTTTTTTCTCTGAAATGTCATTTGATGATATATTTTAAAACCTTCATTAGAAAAAATGACCAAAAAATATGCTATTGTTGAAAAGTAGGTTACGACAATTAAGTGCCCTAATTACTAATTAAGTCACACTTGAGCACCGTTTTTTGTCTTATTGCATCTATAAACAATACGTTTATCACGTGCAATGTATTTATTTGAAATGTTTTTGCATGAATTAGAGCAATGAAGAAGTTACAGTCTGGGTAAGAGAGGCATGTCATTTAAATAGACCAGTTACAATTTAAAGTGCAAGAGCACCAGTCACTATCTTATTCCGGTGAATGAAAATGAATATTGAATTATATTGTATGAAAAATAATTCAAATAAATTTCACAGTAAAATAATTCTTCCGTGCATTAGTTGTACTCTTGAGCTTTAACATAAGATGGTTTGACACTAGAGCTTTAACATAAAATAGTATGACATCATGACATCTCCCTGATGTATACCTTGTTAATGGACTTGTTTTAAACACTAGCAAACTTCAGTAATCTACAATTCAGTGTATGTAACACATGGTATATCCAGATGTATAAGTATACTTTGTTCTGTGCAGTTCGTACATGCATTGACTTATGCACATATCTTGTGTATAACTAAACCGTTAAATATAATTTCATTCATACAAGTGTGACATATATATAATGGTATTATAGTATTTTGTTTAATTTTTATTAACTTTTTGTTATTTTTGTAAAATGCCAGTACACAAGCAGTGTGCTTGCTGCAAAGCAGATTATAAAGTCAGAACATATCGTCTGAATCAGGCAGATATTCTGTCTTTCTTGACAGATAACATCAATAAAGATTTATGTTTAGGTAACCCTGTATGTAAGAAATGCAGTGGGAGATTCTACAAACACCATGAACCAGTAGATCATTCTAACAGTGGTTTAGACCATCAGAATGAGACACCTGACTCTAAAAAAATCAAACTTGATATTCCACGAGCTACGCTTACTGAATCGCGATGTTTCGTTTGTGGAAAGTCCAGAGATGAAAAAAGTAAAATGGTGAAAACATGCACGGAAATAAGAGTTAAGATTTTTTATTAAGACAGGTGTCTTGATTCCAAACACATCTAGGTGCTGTGCTTCTCATATAGTGGATGGTGATATTCATTCCGATGTTCTTCAGTCACTCACTCCTACCAGTGAAGACTCAAAACTGGATTCATCTGAAATATCAGAAATTCTGCTTTCACTGAGATCACTGGCTTCTAAAAAAAGTTGTTTAGACTTTGATTCACCTTATGGATTAACTGATCAAGATTATTATCGACTCACAGGACTTTATAAATGTTGCTTCGAAGGTGTACAATCTTTGGATTGAATATTCTAATGGACTGACCCCAATATCAGGCTGGTATTGTCAATGTAAGGTTGGTGCCAGAGTAGTCGGCTGCTGTGCCCACATTGCATCTGTCCTATGGTATCTTTCTTATGACCGACACCAGTCTGATACTACACAAACAACTGCCTCCTCAAGTTTCCTTAGATGTGTTGATGACGCAATGACGGTGGAGAACTGGTCAGATTGTGACTCCTAAATGAATATCCCAACACCACCATTCCCCTTACAAAAGCAGTAAACAAAACTACAATCCTGTTAGTAATAGACAAAGGTCATTTATGATCCTGTGAAACCCGGTGCTAAATTGATTTTTTCCATTTTAATATCATCCATATTTGTAAAAATATTTCAAATAAATACATTGCACGTGATAAACGTATTGTTTATAGATGCATTAAGACAAAAAACGGTGCTCAAGTGTGACTTAATTAGTAATTAGGGCACTTAATTACCGTGACCTACTTTTCAACAATGGCATATTTTTTGGTCATTTTTTCTAATGAAGGTTCTAAAATATATCATCAAATGACATTTAAGAGAAAAAAACTAAATAAAAATATTTTAGTTTGATAATTATCGCAATAATTATGAATTTGATCCCCTACTTGTCCCCCCTATAACAACTGAACGGCCTTGAGCTGACCTTAGATTAATGTCATGTCATTACCGTCTGACCTGAAGTTTTTAATCGACAAAAAATAAAAAAAGTATTCGTCATGGCCACCAGAAGGCCCAAATTGGCACTCCTCCTTTACCGGAAACTGCTCCACCTTGTATTATAAGGAGACCTATATGCTGCAGGCTTTAATTTTCAAAACAAAACGATAGAGCTGC